GTGTTATAGAGTCTGCTCTGTTTTGGAGAGTCATCATGTACTCTACTGGGTCAAGAACATTAACTTGGCTTCTGGCTACTGTGTAGCAATATCTTGATTTTTATCTGATAACTTAAGATAAGATTGTGGACAGGAATCGAAACTAGTGGTGAGTACTGCATCGTACATCAGATTTGGAAGTTGCAGAATGTTACACAACATTCATTAGCTGTCAATGTAGTTGTCATTGTTGTCTTGTAGTTGTCAACTTTCTTGATAATGTAGTTGACAGGCGACCCTCCGGTCACATGCCAGTTTCCTGGTGCCTTGCTGAAGACGGATTTTCACCCATTTTCACTCCTATTACGGCAACTGATGGGCTGTCTACTCCTAAGACGATATATTTGGTGTCTTCGGAGGATAGCCATCAGATGGGGCTTTTCGGGAGCAACAATAACTGGCTACGGTTGTCCACAAAATTATATAGTTTTAAGGGGATCAATGACGTGATATTTTTGTTTTGAGATATATACAAGAGTTGTTACATTCTTGTAGAGCCACTAGTACGCGTAGCGTTTCGGGCAGGTCCCTGGAATACGATCCCCGCCGCGAAGAATCGTTGTTACAACCAAGTACACATTTTACTGTTGCGTTAAACAGAGGCTACAGTTAAGGAATTGCGCCCAGTAAATCCTCCCGGCCAGGATACGAACCCATGACAAAGCGCTCGCGGAACGTCAGGCGAGTTTCTTACCACTACACCACTGCCTGCTAAAACAGTCAGTGTACAACCATCTCAATAGGTGCTAGCTTCTAGCAGTAATCTCAGTATGTCATAGAAGTAGAAGATCCACAGGAGCGATCCCATCACGGTACCCTGGACGCATTTATGGTATGTTTGCGAGAGGAATTATTGTTGATAACTGAGGTCTTTCTCAGTAGCTTTACAATCGGAAATCCAGGGTTCGAATCCCGGGTGGGGACAGAAATAGTTGGGTCACCCCCTTTCCTATAACCTAATGTTCAGCGAGGAATAAATGGGTGCCCCAGGAGTTAGTCAGGGGGCACCCATTTAATTACGGGCTCACCATAGCCCGTGCTACTTGGAACTTTTTTGTTCCAGGTAGCGAATCTTGTGGTGTTGCATCCTGAGGGTCAGTAGTTCCACCTTGTGGTGACCACGATACAAGTCTTAACATATATTCACAGGCTACCTGTCCCCTGACAACGGGAATTATTATAGCACCGTAGATTAAAAACTATTAATTAATAACTATTAGAGATGATTAAAAACTATTAGAGATGATTAAAAACTTATATGCCAGTTTTTTTATAAAGACTTAGTGATGTTCCTATAGCCAAGGGTGAGACTCCCCGCGGTCACCCGTCCAGTGCTGACCAGACCGCAATATGGACAAAAATAATAAAAAACCTGACTGGCCACATTGTAAAAAAAAAAATTCCCGAAAGCATGGTATGACCCTCAATACTCAAGCGCTAGCCTAGTTACCTCCAAGGCCGCTAGCATGGTATGACCCTCAATACTCAAGCGCTAGCCTAGTTACCTCCAAGGCCGCTAGCATAGTATGACCCTCAACACTCAAGCGCTAGGCTAGTTACCTCCAAGGCCGCTAGAATATGGGTTTGACGTTGGGCTTACTTACGGCCTGTCAACCTCTGGAGGGTTATTACAGCAACCACAATTCCTTACAACCAGCAAGTATATTGACCAATCCACACACTCGAAAATGAAGGGACGACGATGTTTCGGTCCGTCCTGGACCATTCTCAAGTCGATTGTCGATCGACAATCGACTTGAGAATGGTCCAGGACGGACCGAAACGTCGTCGTCGTCCCTTCATTTTCTAGTGTGTGGTCTGGTCAACATACTTCAGCCAAGTTATTGTGATTCATCGCCTGCACAAACAAGTATACTTTTGTCCTAAATATACTCCAGGACTAAAGTAAACTCAGTATATATACACCGAGAAGGAAGGTCCACCTCTCAGTCAACATATCACTATGTAAAGCCAATAGTTACAAATAAAGCTTATCAATTACCTAACTTTGTCGACAATTTGGGGATATATTTTGGCATTAAACGCACGTACGTCTCAGACACATTAGCTTTTAGTAATCATATTTCCTCTCCGGCATTACAATTTTTTCCCCCAATTATGTAAATTTCTCACGCAACACTTCAAGGATGGAGAGGTGGGATTGAGTTTCAAGTGGGAAAACTAATGAACTAATTAAAGTCCACCCTCTTTATAATACGTTTTCTGTCTCAAAACCTAGGCGTTTGTATTCCAGTTACATCCTATATAGAGGATGTTGTTATCCTCCACACAAAATTCAAAACACATAATACACAACTGACATTTTTCCTTTTTCATTGAAAAAACTAATGTTGAATACGGGAGCTGGGGGGGGGGGGACTGGTGGGACAAAGACAAGTGTGTTTTTCTATACCATCGCGTGTATTGTTCTGTGTCTAATATTGCTCTCCGGTACACCTCCCCCTCCTCATATCTGACTCTGTTCCCTTCCATCTCCCCTCTCACCCTTCACCGTCCCCTCCCCTCTCATCTCCCCTCACATTCTTGTAGTATTACGCTTGTGCGGTGACGCTAAGCCGACAGTGGAGGCCAACTCAACATTATTACTTCTGCCAGTACGAGGCGTCAAATTGCTCCTCGACTTCCATAAGTATTTACACACATTTACTGAAACACTGTCACAATAACATCTACTAAATACTGTAGAACATCGTAAAGCCTTACAGTAATTAGTAATAAAGGTAGTTGTTTTTAAATTATACATTTAAGCACAGAACATTACATTTGGATAGTCACAAATAAATTATTAGAATACGAGAACAAAAATGCATCATTTAAATATTAACACAAGAGGGGTTTTATATATATATTTTTTTTTGCGTGCCTGGTACCTTAACGACTAGACCAACACGACTCTTCCAAACAACAGCCCGTCTTCCAAACAAAGACCCAAAAGTGATTCCATGCACCCGCCAAACCCCCTGTTTATGAATGAAAAACGGTTTACACACGACACAACTAATTTCGTTCAAACACTTCCGGAACAAGTGCTTCACTGACGAATTTTGATCGAACCACAACGCTATAAATGCTTCACCTGCGTACTACAAATATAAATAATCACCAACAGAACCTAAACACCTGACCTAACCTAACCTATTCCTATATATGCACAATATGCTAATATATTATAATATTAATTTATATTTTAGAAAATTCATGTTTTGAATGAACAGCATATAAAAGTTTATGAATGCGTCTGTGCGGGTCGACCGCTGGATGTAATGACTTAAGTCGAAGACGGGTTGCATAAACAGGGGGTTTGGCTGGTGCATGGAATGGTCTTTAGGGCTTTGTAAACAAAGCCGGGCTGTTTACCTTGCAATCAGCTGGCTTCTCCCCAGCTTGGTGGGTGGGGTGACTCGCGCAAAATAATATACTTGTTTTAATCTTATTGTGCTGTTCGTTGCACTAATAGTATGTTTATGACAGCATTATAAATTTTACAGTTAAAATGCAATTGTTCACTTACCTGCAAAATACTGCGTATTCTACCTGGTCCCTGTTTTGGTGTGCTGAGTGGCCGCTTTCTGGCTTTCCAAGGGTCGGTGCTTGGTTGCTTGACAAAGTTAACTCCAGCACTACTATCAGCTGTTTAATAGCGTCCCAACATTAATAACTGGTCTTAGCTAGTACTTAACTCACTAAATTGGCCTTACGAGGCTTATAAACCGTCCTGTATCATTTAGTTATCGACTGGCACTGATTCTTGATCACCAACGTTCATATTCCCTTTAAGACAGTATAGACCTCTTACCGCCACCCTTAAAGCACTAGTGGCTTAAGATTGCTGCTCTAGCACAGCTTGAGCACTTTACTTAATATGTCTGGCACTTTGCACTAGCATTACGGGCTTATCACCTAGTAAATATACTATAAAATATCAGCGCTCATCCATCCCACCGCTTGCATCCTGGCCGAGGCAAGAGCCAAAACATCGTCGTCTCTTCAGTTTCTGATGTGTGGTTTCGTCTTCAGCTACGTTATTTATTTACTTATTTATATACAAGAAGGTATATTGGGTTTATGAGAGTACATGGTATTGATTTTTTTTTTACATTCTTGCGAGGCCACTAACACGCATAGCGTTTCGGGCAGGTCCTTAATCAAACAGCTAATTTTAAGCAGGTAATTTGTAGCAAAATTTGAAGAATATTAACAGGTACATTGTAAGAAAATTTGAAGTAAATTAATAGGTATATTGTAGTAAAATTTGAGGATTATCAACAGGTACATTGTGGCATAATTTGAGGATTATTAATAGGTATATTGTAGTAAAATTTGCATTCAACATACCAACCATGATATAAGTTTATAGCAGTGACTACAATGGTGACGTTGCATGGTTTAGGCACATGTATTGGGGGACTGGATAGCATAAGATACAGTGCGAGTTTGAAGCACTAGGTAGGAAAGATTATTGTGACTCGCCGTCTGCTTTTATATAATAGTTTTACATATCAACATCAGCAGGTAGTGCAGACTCCCTGAGGTAATTATACCCGAGCCTAATGCTAATGCTTTTATAGTTAAAATAATTACTGGAGGGCCACTATCTCTGTTTCCTCGACTGAGAATGAAAGCCGACGGCTTGTTAAAGGTCCACCTATTATTTGCGAGGATTTGTATGCATATTTTTTTAACAAATACAAATTAATTACGAGGTAGGCAGAACATTTATTATTAGAACGCCTAAACAGTTACATTAATTGGATTCTGAGTGAGGCTGCAGTTGCTACGGAGATCGTTAAGCATGTTTATTTACTGTGGCCGTAAGAGTATACTACGTGATATATACAAACATCTTATTTTCTAATTATCATTGATGCTGCACTGTAACTGGCTAAGCGATCCCAGGGAAAATGTTACCTTAACTGTGATTGGTCAAAGTCAACTTTACTATAGCTGCTGCACTCTGGCGAGAGGCGGCGGAACTAAGACCAAGGCTTGAGTGGACCGTACGAACTTTTCGTGAATGAATAACAGTAAGACCATAACTTACGGCCGGACGTACGCTCTCATCTCAAGTTAGTGAATCCACCACCAAGTTAAAAAGGTGTCCATCTACGAGAACTTAAGACTAGTGGCGTATTAGAATAAAAACTTAGACTCGCTGGCGTACAAGACAGACATAATGAACGGGTCGAAGAAGAGGAAGCCCAACTTCACAGACGAGGAGGTGCTTATGATGTTAAACCAAGTACAGAAGCGGAAGAAAGTCATCCTTGGCAAGCTTGACGGCTCGCTGACAGTTCATGACAAGAACAATGCCTGGCATGTCATCGCTGCGGCCGTCACTGCCACCAGCCCCTATATAAGAGGCCCTAATGAAGTTCGCAAGAAATTTACAGACTTGCGGTCAGTAGTTAAGAAGAAAACAGCGGTTATTAGTAGGGAACTTAGGAAGGCTGGTAAGTTAATTGACGTGTAAGGAGACTTGGGACAGCCTGAAGGAATGATGTGGGGTTATATAAGGTACAGGTATTTCCGTCCATAAGGCTGTTCAAGTTTAGTGTAGTTCATTTATTATGCACCTTATACCCATCCTGTGGGCGGTAGTGGAAAGGGTTACAGAGGCATATAATGAACTTAGGGACTGAACCCCAAAACTTATTTAGCTAAGTAAGTTATAGTATTGATGAGACTTAAAAAAAGTTAATGTATATTGTTGCACCATCAAAGGGTTTGAGACCAACCACAAGTACAGTCTCTAAGAAACTTGCATATTTATTTATTTATTTATTTATATAAAGAAGTACAGTGGGTTTGTAAGAGTACATAACATTGGTGTTCTTGCATTCTTGCAAAACCACTATTATGCACTTAGTGTTTTCTGCAGAATGTGGTGAGCTAATGTCATTATTAATGTTTATCCTGCTTTTCTAACTTAACCTAACCCAGGGCCCACTAACTCAGCTTAACTTTAGGTAATCTAACCCAGCCTAGCCTACTACTATCATTTTCTTTAATTCAAAGGACTGTGTGAATTACCTGCATATGATTTAACTATACACTTCAATCATGCAGAAGTGTTTTCCATATAACATTTGTTCTAAATTTGTAAAATGTTATATGAAGGTAAATTGGGTTAGGCTGAGATACATTAGGTTGGGATTAGTATGTATAGGTTGGCTTGCTTATGATAAGGTAAAGTTAGGTTAAATAAAGTCAAATAAGGTAAAGTTAGGTTAGCCGATTTTAGTAAAATTAGGTACCCCAGTATGTCTTAAAATTCATTGTCTAGTACCCTCTTATGTACAAAATTGTCTGAATCCAAATAAATTGGTAAATATAAGAGGCAAGCAAGCCAAACTTGTGTATTTAGGTGTGATTCCCGCCCAGGAATCAAACTCGGTCACAGCTGGTTGTGAGCAAACTGTGCCGAGCACTGTGCCATCTTTATAAAAAAAACAAGTGAAATGCATAAAAAGGTGTTTATCAATAAAATAAAAACAAAGCCATTCTGTAGATATACTACTTGCTGAGATACGTGCATTAACGAAATTAAAAAATTAAAATTAATTATTAATAATTATTATCATTTTAATTATTAAAATAATTAAATTTAATTTAAAACGAAGTCATTCTGTAGATATACTACTTACTGAGATACGTGTATTAACCAAAATAACTCTGGTAAAATACTGTACTGTATGTAGGAAAGCAGACTTATGATTCATGCTGGGTGTCCCGTCACCTGGATGCTGGCATTCGACTTGCAAGTCTTATCACCATTTGTAAAGGAATTTCATTAATACAGTATACACACATATTATGATCAATTTTATACCTGTCAGCCTTTTAAGAGTTTTGCACACAACTCTTCTAATAAAATACAATGTTTGATTCCTACAGGTCCAACCTCCATGTGGGTGAACAGCTCTAATTTTATTTAAACTTTTCAAATGCTGAATACGTTGGAGGATATTAATCGAGGCCCCTTATTTAATAGGTCAAATGTAACATTTCCAAAGGGCAACAGTTTGAAGCTCAACAAACCACAATGTAGGACAGAAATCTGTAGATGCTTTTTCACCCATAGGCTTATACACCCATGGAACTACCTACTTGCCAAAGCTGTAAGTGCCAAGACATTACCGCAGTTCAAAATCCAGTTGGCAAAAAATCTGAAAAAATGGGGGAGACTTTTGACAAACCACCGGCTTCATGTCCATGTCAAGGCGACTAGACAGATGGTGGCCCTCAGGTAAATTCAGATAAATATTTCTTCATCCTAGTTAAAACTTATGTTTACTGTTAGTGTTAGTTTAAATACTGTAAATATACAGTACAGTACTTGTATAGTAGACACCACTAAAAGTAAAGCCTTTAGCATTAATTATCACTAGAACACTGTATGTCTTTTTGCTAAATTTCCTAAAAATTATATTTATACAGTATATTGTACATTAACTTTCATCTTATAATAAGTACTATACAGTACTAAAAATGTCCCATTTAATCATTACACATTTTAATCTTTAGGTATGCCTGAAATGTTGTGTGTAACTAGTGGCTTTATAGCACATACAAATACCATTAAGTAATTACCAAAAGAAGGTACCAAGCCGGGGAGACTTATGTAGCATCATAGGGTATGATTACCCTATGGTGATTACCCTAGGATATGAAGCTTCAGTGGAAGCCTCAGAACCCCTAAAGGATTCATTTGAATCCCAGGCTGCATTGCTTTTGACCATATCATGGTGTAGTTGTCAGGGGCATGTGCTTGGGAGTACCAAGTGTGTGTTCGAATCATTCTCATGGCTTTTACTGATTTTCTCAATGATTTTAATAATAATAATACTGTAATAGAAATGGTGATAATAATAGTACTAATAATACTTTATTTACAAAATACAGTATATATTGTACTGTATATATTTACCTGAATTTACCTCAGGGCCACTAATACTAGTGGCCTCAAGGACAGGAAGCCAGTGGCTTGTCAGAGGTCCCCCCATTTGCCCTGATCATCTTTTCCAATTGTATATTAAAACTCTGCAGGGTTTTGCTGTTTATGGCTTTGGCGGGTAGGCAGTTCCACAGGTTTACAACCCTATGGGTGAGAAAGCATATCGTGTATTCAGTCCCACACTGTGACTTGTTGAGCTTGAACCCATTGTTCCTCATTTGTGTTATATCTGACCTTTTGAAGAAACTGTCTGGATCAACATCCTCCAAATTGTTCAGTATTTTAATGGTTTCGATAAGATCAGCCTTGACATGCCTGGTTTGCTGTGTTGTTAGCCCTGTGGCCCTCAATCGTTCCTGATATGAGAGATGACTAAGCTCCGAGATGATTTTTGTTGCCCGGTCTTGCACCTTCTCCAGAGCAGCTATATATATACAGTATATTGTATAATGATTTTTTTTTAAATCCTGCGGTTGGGTGTCAGTTATTGGACTAGGTTAGTCAAGCTTAGGCTTAGTGTTATTCAGAGCTTATTATGTATGAGTATTGTACATGAGTTTTCTATTAAAACAAAACCAAAAGTCTGATTCCAAATGTTTTATTTTTATTTTATTTTTGTACTTTTAGGTGGTGCATATGGTGATTTAAAACCTTTAACAGCTACTGAAGAGGCAATGGCGACATTAATAAACGACGCTTCCTGTGAAGATCTTTCTGCCGCACTTGATAATGGAGATGAATATGAATCAGGTATTGACCATAAAACTAATAATGTTCCAGTGTAGTCGTATTATTTTGCCTTGCCTTAGTTTATGTTGCTCTTCGTAACATATTATTGTTAGCTGTCAGTACAGTATGTTGAGTACTTAATACTACTTAAGTATTAAGTATTTGATACTTAAGTCTCTCATTTTTTTTCTTTTGTGTTCATCAGAACATATATTATGTTGTGGTTGTTTTACTTGTACTCAAAGATGGGCACCGTTCCTCATAAGGAACTTATGGTCCTAGTCCTTTCCTCAAAATGGACCATTAGTCTCAGTCATACTAATGAAAACACTGAAATTATTAATATTTAATTTTAGTAAATTAAAGTTGAATTCCATGCAATACAAAATTAATAATGTACTGTATAACAAAACTAGGAAAATATATTAATAAGTTAAATGCTTTAATTTCCCTTCAAAAAGACAATTTCAAAATGGCTGTCATTGAGCCCTGATCTCTTTGGCTCGTGGACATCTTTCTCCACAGTGAAGAGCCTGACAACTGTAGCAATAGAGGGGGATAGCTGTATTTAATTTGATGAACAAGTCTTAATGCTTGGCTACGGGGAACAAGCCCTTGTTGATGATAAAGGGTTTCCATTTCATAGGCCTCTCACTGATAATTTTCTCCATCAACTTGGTCCAAGTTTCTATCTTCTTCTCCCTTCCCTCATAGAAAGCCCTAAAGAATTTTCAGACATTGTCTTCTTTGTCTTCATTGTCTTCATAGTTTTTATTGTCATAGTCATTCTCATCCTCACTGTTGATTTCCATGCCTGAGCCTGTCAGAATCTCATCCACCATAAACACCATCTACTTCTTCACCTTGGCAGTGACCCCTTAGTGTTATATATGAAGTCATCATCCATCATCCTTACCCAACCCAATTTGAATTGTTGGTGTAGCGCAGCTGCTACGAGGAAGTCCATATCCTCAAAAAATGCTTTAGACTTGGAGTACTGTATAACTTATTTTTTCTTGGGCTATATATAATGCTTGGAACTTTGCTTTATCTAGTTGTTGAGTGCCACAGTTTGTGACACTTTCTCAGTAATGCTTAGCCCTGGTATCACTCAGAGCTTATTATGTACAAGAAACTTATACAAGTTTTACGTAAACCATTTGGTTTATTAAAGATGCTATACAAAATTTTACTTTTAGGTGGTGGTAACTTAAGAATATTAACAGCAGCTGAAGAGGCAATGGCCACATTAATAAGTGACACTACCATCGAAGATCTTCCCTGTACCCTTGATACCGGCGGTGGAGAGGATTCTCAATCAGGTATTAACCCTAAAACTTAAAAAAATTCCACTGTAGTCATGTTATTTTGCCTTACCATAGTTTAACAGTTTAACTCTTGTTACATGTTATTTTGAGCTGTTGTTAGTATAGTGGATATTTGTGATCAATGGTGGACGAATGGATACTTGGTGCATTTTTTTCTTGGGTACTAATGAGAATACGTTTGATATTATACAGTATTTGTTTTATGTTGAATGAACATCTAAATAATTTTTTCTCATGTGCAGCAGTTTATTGTGTAAAAGAGGAGGAATTTACAGACGTTGGGTCTCCTGATAACTCAACTCAGGAGCCATCAGCTGAGCCTTCTACCTCGTCTGCTTTTAAGGAGTCTGAGCTCCCCAGTGTGGAGCCACTTCTTGGGCATGATTACTGCAAACAATCAGAAATTTCAGGTAGTAAACCACCTCAGTGTAGATCAGAACATCAAATCTCTTGCAATCCACCAAGTAGATCCAGAACTACTAATAAAGACAATCTAATTGGCCCTCAAATGTTGAAGGTACAAGAAGAAATCAGGGATAGTGTTCATCAAATGGCAGAATCCCTGCAGGAAATGTCGTCTACTCTCAAGGAGGGTTTGCAGGGCATATCAGCTCTTCTGAAGGAGTTTACGGCACTTGCTAAGTACAGTTTGCAAAAATAATTAAGGGTAAGGAAAGGTTTAATCCCTCCCAAGTAACTTCATTTTTATATTTAGTGTTAAATGAATAATTAGTTTAATGGAGGAGAATATTTAAAATGAATTTACTGTGATAACTGTATTGGCTGTGAATTACTTTTTATATACTGTAGGGTTAAGGTTAAGAAGAGACCTACCTCAAATATAGGAATTATTCAGATAAATATTTGGTTTACAATAATAAAGTAAAGTGGCAGATATGGTATGCACAGATCTGTGATATACCTGTTCTCTTCAGGTTTTTATCTCCTTGATGACTGGGCCTTTATATTTGCTGTCACTTCTCAGTTCTTCCTCATACACCCAGTAATCTCCCTCCCTCATATGTCCAACCACTTGGGCTGGACGGTCTCGCTTCATGCGAGTTCAATGAATCAATCCCAGGTTCAATCCCTGACTGTCCAAGTGTTTGGACACCATTCCTCCCCTCCCCCCTTGGACGATCCTAAATCCTTATCCTGGATCCTTCTTCCAAGTGTTATATTGTCATAATGGCTTGGTGCTTTTCCCTTGACAGTTCCCTTCCCTTCCTTCCCTCATACACCAGTAATCCCTCTCCCTCATACACCAGTAAGCTATAACCCTCATACACCAGTAATTTCCCTCCCACATACATCAGTAATCTTACTGTTGCATTATACCCTACGTAAACCTGTGTTACACTATTTCATCACAGAGAAATTAGAAAAAAATTTAATATAAGAATATATGAAGTATGGAACCTGCAGAAGACCTATTGACCCTATACAATGTAGACAGAAGAAATATTATATATCATGTGTAGAAAATGAAGGAGTGGTGGTCTTCCTGCCATGCTTTATATTACTGATCATAAATAATCATCTATGTATGTATTCAAGCTCTTTCATTATAAACAATGAAAAAAAAGTTTATTAGCATTAATACAATAATAATGCAAAAAAGTCATCCCATGTGTGTAAGAACTGAGGATGTAGTGGTAATAATTGGCTATTCAAAATGCTGCTATTTACACTGAATAAAACCTATTTATGTTGTTTGTAACAAAATTATAATTAGAATATAATTCATTACAGTGAGAAACCCTAACTATTACATATACCACTTCATTAAGCAAGCAACATTTCTTGTTTTGGTGAGTACCAATTTCTTCATAGAAAGGGAATGGCGTATGAATACCATGTTGACTATAAATTAATGCCGTCATAACACTAAAGTCAATTTTGTGTGCAGAAGAGAGAACTATCAGGGGAAAGTGTCAAGCCACTACAACTATATAGCACTTAGAAGGGGTCAGGATAAGGACTTGGGATGGGACAGGGGGTGGTGCCCAACCACTTGGACGGTCGGGGGATTGAACGCCGACCTAAATGAAGCGAGGCCGTTCCTCTACCGTCCAGCCCAAGTGGTTGGGTTGCAGAAAAATAACATTTCTTTGGCAAGTCGAGTACAGTAAATAATTTTGGACTCTGCACACAAGTTTTTGGCCTGATTATGTTTGCCAAAGAAAACTCAGTGTCTTCACCCAGATTTAACTTTTCATTTATGATTGTTTCAGAGGTGTGTGAATACCATGTTGGCCACAATCAAATATCAGTGTTTAGTTACATATATTTCTTGATTCACTATTTTAGTTAAAAATCTTATTGTCATTGAGGAAATTATGCATGCTGTTATTACAGTATTTTATATTTTTACAAGATTGTTTCTAGTCTAAAAGAATAAAAATTAAATTCAAGCTTTAAATGTACTATAATTGAATATCCTTCCCTGGTTGCCCCCTAGGTAGATCCATGTGGTTACATGCTTGTATTTCTTAGCTTAAGTATCTCACCATGCCTCAAAACTAATGCAAATATACCAGAAATCAACATCACAATCTGGTGCTCTCTATGAGGTGAAGAGAGTATGAGAATCAGAGATCTACCAAAAACTAAGGAAGCCAAAAAGAAAGATTAAGCAAAACACAGAAAATTACCACCTGTGAGAGAGAAATGAAAATGCTGAAAACAAAGCAAACAATTGCTTGCTGTGTATCTATGTATTTACATATGTAGGTTAGGTTAGCATTTTAAAAACACCGAATCACCTTCTGTGGTTGATTGTTCAATAAACCCTTGAACTATATGTTTAACACATCTCTAACCCTGTCCATGGAGGACAAGAAAATGTATATATGCTGATTAACATTGTAAATGTGTGGCCACGTCTGTGGTAGAAAATAATAATAAAAAAAAAAAAAATTGCTTGCTGCTGCTGAACATGCTTAATCCTAATGCACCCGGCTACCACCAGATGGTGTGCCAGGTCACCCGGGGACCCAGCTCCGCACCTACCATGCTGACAAGCCACCTGTAGTGAAACACCACTCCCTTCAAAATGGGCAACAACTGAGGGTCTGCCAGAAAAGGGCATTTCATTCCATTCAATGCTTGATTTCTGGAAAAGGTTTTCATAGTAGCTCCTTGATGCTTATATACCAATTATCAAGGCACATTTACCAATTTGCCTTGAAGATGAGAATGACTTTGCTGAAATGGAACATAAGATTAGTAGAACAAGGACATACATAAAGGGTTTACCCCTAGACAACAGAGGAGCAGGACTTGGGGCAGAGAACCATTAGCAGCAGGCCAGATGCAGAAGTGCTACGCAGGCATGGCAAAGCCATGTCACATTTTGTAAGTACTGTAGAGACAGTCATCTGCCAAAAACCAGAGACCTAATATATGAGCCAAGGACATATTGCCAAAGAATGTTGCCAAAATGGCAAACTTCTGCACATCGTGGGAGCAATGATAGACAGCATGCTGGCTGTATCGAACCACCTTCCAGATTTTTTGGGCAAACCAGTCCTTGGAGCATGGGGCTCCAAGGACTTCGTGTTTATACCACCCACATTGTGTGGGACTTGCCATTCCATTTTGCTCTGGTCATGGCTAGGGATGTTTTTCTTGGAGTCAACTTGTATTTTAAACCCTGAGGACCATTTGTGTTGCTTCCATCAAATAGCCTGCCGAGTTCAGGGTGAAGTTCATTAGCACTGAACTTCGGTTTTGGTGGAGTCGTCGTCTTAAGTGGCTGGCTGTCGTGTTGCAGCCACTCTACAGGGCCAGGCTATACAGTATGGGCTTTTACAGCCCTTGTGTACAACAGATGGTATGGTTTCCATTTACCCACTGTTTTACAAGAAGGTTTATGAACATTTTATTTTAGACAATTTTGTCAAGTATGAGAGGTCGGCCAGTTATGCCCCATTATGTGTAGTGGAAGTGGGTTGAACAGTCTCAGGCCTCAGATGTTGATATCATGCTGGTATCATGATGTTGTGGTAGTTATCATGCAACAACAATCGTTTGTCTAGTTTACCTTGAGGTGCGTCATGTCCTTCAGATAATTGCTTGTTTTATTGCACTTCTGCTTTCTGGTGGGTTTTTCCCAGTCTTTGTAGTTGATCCTCTACTCCCCCCTTGCCTCGTTAAGTGACCTAGATTCTGGTGGATTGAGAGTTAAGCTCAGAGAACGAGAAAGGGTGGGGGGGGGGACCATAAAAAGAAATTTTATTACATTTGACACTGATTTTTTACAATGTAAAATTTAAGTTGCATGTGTACAGTAGATCATTAAAATTATTTTAACTTTATACATTTTTTGTATTAACACAACTGCTTGCATAATTTGTAATATTTTGTTTAATTTCAGTCATGAGTGAGATTTATACACTACAGAGCCAAAACTACCGGTGTTGCAGGCATTGTAATGCACTGGACCCATTGGAGCTGGGTGCCCATCTAGATGCCAAGCTCATTAAATAATTTATGCCTTATAGTTTTCAAATTATATATTTATTTTTTAACTTTCTAACTTTCACTATCCTATTTATATTACCGACCTAACATAATTTAGTCAAGAAAACCCATTTGTGCCACAATCACTACAGGTACTTCTAATTTCATTACTGTATACAGTGCGACCTAAAATATCCCGGGCAACTGGTACCTCTGGACATCCAGAAAACTGAAAATCTTGAAACTCAAATAAAAGATTTTGAGATGTAATTTTCTGCAGTTTGTAATTTTAGTATATATTTAAACACCCATGTGCTAAAAATACATACAATGATGTATTAATAGAAATGCACAAATTATATGTAGTCAATATGAGATTTTTGCATTATATGTTACCATAAGTGTCCTTCAGTGTTGAATCACACCAAGATTTCATGAATAATGGAGGGTTAACCAGCCATGCTCCAATTATTGGGGGGTGGAGGACTAGAAATTTCTATGCCCAGTTAAAAAGTCACATGGAGGAGTATATTAGAGATGACCTTGTATGCACAGAGCTACTAATATCTACAAATGAGGTGGCAAAGATATACTGTACTTGGAGTAATAATCTAGAGAAAATAAACCTGGTTATTAATTTAATATACAAACTGCCAGATGAAACAGATGAGGAATTAAGAGCAGATAATCAAAATAGAAAATAGCCTCAATAATCTGGCAAACCCAATACCTGATTTTATTCTTCTTGGAGATTTCAAGCTGCCAGTTTAAGATGGTGAATAGCAAACAATAATATTATACTGTACCAGGAAATCAACTTCAAAATATCCAACCACAGGTCTGAAAACTACTTAGATTCTGTGATAATTTTTTGTTCAATAAATAAGAGCCAATTAGGAACGAAAATGATCTAGAGCTGATCTTCACAAGCAATGAAGAAATAATCAGGGATATTACAATCTCTGATACCACATATTCAGCTCTAAGAAGCTTATTGAAGTGCAAACTAACAGCAATACTCACAATGTGTCCAGAAAAAATTATGAAGCGAGAGGGACTATTCAATAAATTCAACTTTAATACCACAAGGAATTACTGGGAAAAAATAAGCATAGAGCAATAAGAAACTCTTGAGTAATAATGATCACTTTTATTTACAATAAGGTACAATGGGTTTGAGAGATTACACAAGATTGGTATTTTTACATTCTTGCAAAGCTACTAACACACAACATTTTGGGCAGGTCTTTAATCTATCATATCAGGTAAGAAGGAAAGGTACATTGCTACAATGTTTTATAACTACAATATAAATTGGCAGAGGTGATTGCACTAGTGAAGATAGATGTCTTAAGTATTAATATTGGGGAAGTGGGTAGCACAAGTTACAGTGTGAGTTTGAAGCACAAGGTAGGAAACTATGTGGATGAAATTAGGTACCTTTTGGTTTTACTTTTGAATAAGGCAGAGGTTGGAAATTTTTTTAATGCATTAGGGAGTGAGTTTCATAGCCTGGGTCCTTTTATGTGCATGGAGTGTTTGCACAGATTTAGTTTGACTGTGGATATCAAAGAGAGATTTATTTCTGGTGTGGTGCTCATGGGTTCTATTACAACTATCAAATGACAAAACTCCCACATAAGGAATAGAACAATTGACTGCCGAAGCATACAACGTCTGCTTGATATATTGTTCCTGTGCGAAAGGTCAAAAAGAGGACCAGATTAGATAGAGAATGCAGATGATACTACAGAAGAAAGAAAAAATAATGCACTGTACATGCTTAATGCTGAACTTTTTCAGCCCTTTTAGAAAATGGGGAACATATGCACATTTCTAATCTAGGGAGACTTTACCATGGTACAACAGGTAATTATTAGAAAGCACAAAGCCAGTGAGACTATATAGTACTTGAAAGAAATATGAGGACAAGAATCTGGGATAGGATGGAGGGAACGAATGGTGCATAATGACATGGACCATCAGGATTGAACACTGATTTGCAAGACGCAAGACTTTCAGTCCACCGATGAGTTCAAGTGGTTAGAAACTTTATCTTTGTCTAAAGATTTTTTGAATAAGAGTTTCAGAGGTAGACACAGTTCATCAGCCAATTCTTTTACTATTATGGGAAACCATAAGGTGAACCCCATATGTTCAGCCATACTTCAAACCATGACTAAATAAAATTAATAAAAATATCATTTGATCTAATTGAATTTTCTAATAAAAAGAGAATTTATATTGGAAACTTGATAAAATCCAAGAAATGATTTTTTGATTTCAAAGTTAGGGCAGAAGTTCATTAAACTACCTACCAAGCAGTGATCCTTCACACCTGCAAACCCATAGAGAGAATCCAAAAGGAGAGAGTCATTCACCATCTCACAATGCACCATTTTGTACAAAAATCAACACAACATGGTATTGTACAAAAATAATCCTGCTCACATTTTTGAAACGGTAACTAGCTATTCACACAAAAGCTTTCCAATAGAGGTAGTATACATATATACTACATATATATACATATACATACATACATATACACATATAGTATACTCTCTAAAACTGATAGGTGTACCACATTAAAGACTGGCATGGATATTGCAAACACAGAAAAAATAATAAATGCAAGAATGGACAAAACAATAGTTAATACAATGAAACTATGGCTGATAGAGGAGTAATTACTGACACTCAAAGTGCAGAAAACACTGGTAAAAAAAATTATGATGCTTAGAACAAAACTATATGTTCAGACTGTATAGTTAAATACATTCATTAGACAGTGGGACATTGTAATTACCATAATTAGCCTGGGATATCATTACTTAATTATGACAACTGCATTGTAATCAATCAACAATTAAACTAACTCCAATAAAGTATCAATAGCCATATTGTTAAAAACAAATAATAATAATTATATATATATATATATATATATATATATATATATATATATATATATATATATATATATATATATATATATATATATATATATATATGTAATTAACATTTATAATACATAAAGCTTTGTAATTATTTCATTCACGGTGTTGGAAGAAATTTTACCTGAAAGCCACCATCTGATGTTGTTGTTTAAGATTTCCTACCTGGAACAAAAAAAAAGTCCAAGTAGCACGGACTATGGTGAGCCCGTAGCCACCATCTCTAGCGACCTCGACGGGGACAGGAAGCCGACTGGGCGCCACAGTTGCCAGATCTAAATTGCGGAAAGTAGCAAGCTGACGGCCTAAAAGTAGCGAATTTGTAATAAGAGTAGCCCAATCTTTTTTATTGAATGATAGGGGTTTCAAAGTAATATATTTTGATATATAGAGTACACTACACGTTTTCTTTACCGTGTATGTTGTAATATTCCTATATTTACAGTTGTTTCTCCCTGTGAAGATTATTAAACAATGGTGATTGGAAGGGCGCGGAAGTTCAGCCTGGCCAGGGCCGCCAGCAGCCCTTGGGCCCGCCTCGGCAGCTCCCAGTCTTTAATTTGGCACCTTTGTGGGACCTTTGTGGCACCTCTTGGCACCTTTGTGGCACCTCTTGGCACCTTTGTGGGACCTTTGTGGGACCTCCACCGTCCCATCCCAAATCCGTATCCTGATCCCTTCCGAGTGCTATATAGTCGTAATGGCTTGGCGCTTTCACTTCATAGTTCCCCCACCCCCCAGAATAATATTACGAGAGCAGTATTTACCGGTTATTCATGCCCGTGCTACCTTTTGGGTGGCTTAATCTTCATCAATCGAGAGCAGTACGTCCTAACCAGACATTATATGATGATATCCTCAACAGTTGATAAATAAAAGTAATTGCAGAACTCCAGTTATCTAATACTTATCATGAGTGGTATAAAACCTTAATTATCACAAGCCAAGGAATTTGTAGATCAGTGTTTAAAGGGAATTCGGAGGTAATAATGATACAGCTAGTGCCATCTGTCGGCAAAAGAGAACACTATTAACTGGCTGGTCAATAGTAGCCATAAGGTACAGCTTACGCCATCTGTTGGCATCAAATTACACTTATAACAAATTACCCCACAAAATACCACTAGCGCCATCTCTTTTTTTTCCAACGAACTATAAATAGCCAAACAGCAACCCATAAGGTGGGTTGTTGCGCTCGGGTAGGCGGTTCCTAGCTCCGCCCACAGTGTGTATGGGCTGCATAATAAATGGCATATCATTGGTAGATATTCTTTGTTGACATTCACACAACAGCCAATCACAGGAAGGGATCAGCTAAAGGCTCCATCCACTTAATAAATCATCTTTATTCAGCACACCATCCTTGCTTATGACATTCTGCTTCAACTTTAATCTACCTAAAAAGTAAAATGTTAACTATTTAAAAGCGTTAATAAAGTGATAATGAAATACTGCAAGATGTAACGAGTGTTACAGAAACATGGGCTGGCTACCTAGCTTGTGACGTCATCAGCGGGGGTTGCCTCACAAATAATGATACACTGCTCTGCCCTCTTATTCGAGTAAATTATTCAGTTAAATGGAGATTTTTGTCAGGTGCAAAACAGAAATTGTTGTTCTTTTTCACACCAACCTTGTTGTTGTGCACAAGGACCTATTTCTTAGTTTAAATTGTATTCATAAAAGAGTGTTGGTATTCCCCGCACCAGCCAATCACAGGAAGGTATTTCTGGAAGCTCGGCCTCCTTATGGACTCAGCACATCGCTCTAGCTCATGGCTCGCTGTTTCATCTCTTGTATATACAAACTATGACTTGTTTCCATTACTGTTATAATTAATAGGATGAGATATAAAAGTTTTTACACAAAATGGCTAAATTCTGCCATTAAATGGGCTTTGTCTGGTATACATACAAACATACACCAATTTATTACCATTCATCCATTATTAATTTCAAATGTAATGTATACTATCTAGTTTTTTTACCTCTCGCCATTACTTGGTGCAATATTTGAAAGTTGTCTATCTATGTATCGATCTATCTATTATCTTGTATTTATATATACAAGTTTCTCTGCTTGGAAGAAAACTCTGCATTGAATTGGGACTAATTTATTAAATAATATTATTTAGTATTAATTAATATTTACAATTATTATTAATTGGAATTATTTATAGCTTAGTTACTTTCATGTAACTCGCAATCGTACATTCTTAACTTTAATAGCCCAAATTAGTACATCTTGCTTTAAATTAGCCCAAAAAAGTAGCAAGTAGCGAAATTAAAAAATTGGGAGCGCGGGGCTCTCAAAAGTAGCCCAATTCGCTACTTGTAGCTCAATCTGCCACCACTGCTGGGCGCTATGCTCTTGTTTTAGATTCAGCTACTCGGAACAAGTTCCAAGTAGCACGGGCTATGGTGAGCCCGTAAGGACGCTATGCGTGTTAATGGCTTTACAAGAATGTCAAACTTCAAGTCTCTGAACTCTCATAAACCCAATGTACCTTCTTGTATATTAATAAATAAATAAATTAATAAATAAAAAGATAAACTTATTGTTAGCTCATGATCTATCCTATTAGATACTCTTAGCTCTTGATCTATTCTATTAGACAATCTTAGCTCTTGATCTATTCTATTAGATAATCTTAGCTCTTGATCTATTCTATTAGATAATCTTATAATTAGCTCTTGATCTATTCTCTGTAATCCCTATTAATGAGGGTAGCAGAACAATCTTGTGTATTGTTCACGAGTTTGTTAATACAAAAATTAAGTCCTAAAAAAGAGCTTAGGCCTATCACAGGAGTGTTTTTAATGCAGCCAAATTAGCTTAATGAACATTAAACAACCAGTTTTAGCTGTACGAGAGAGAAAAGTAAACAAAAAAATTGAATAATTAATTAGTCACCCCGTTATATACAGGCTCGCTGGAATTGTCTATATGAAAAGGGTAAATATCTTATTTTACATTACGTAGCCCATTACAAAATAATTACGTGTAAGTGGTACTCATATATATTGTTTATTTTGTTTAAATTATTAGTAATTGTTTTGATTTGTATTAACAAATGAAAGCATGTCAACTTTTTAACTTCGATTGTTTACAATCAGGACAGAAGCCGTCGTGGCGAGGAGTATATAACACTCATAACAACACCAACAACAACAATCTTGATTTCTTAGACTTTATTAAGCAAACCACAAACATGACGGCTCCACCAGCTGCTCTTCTCAATAAAAATAAGAAAAACTTCATCGGTATGCCAGCCCCGCTGGGATACGTTGCTGGTGTTGGTCGAGGGTGAGTGGCTGCCTTCCTATTTATCTATTTTATGATTTATTTATAGTATTCAGATAATTCCCCCTTGCGGGATACAAGTCATATCGTGCCCAAAATCATTTTAATACATACTGTATCCATGCTGTATCCATCTGTATCCAACCTAATGCATCCTAGCACTGCCTAGCCTAAGCCTGTAATCGTAACCTAAGGATTAGGGATCTCGTAGTACAGTTGGTTTCGTTTTTAACTCACAATTGAAGATCCCTGGTTTGATTTCTAGGTGAAATAGAAATGGTTGGGATCATTTCCTCTCACCTAATGCATCTCTTCACCTAGCAGTAAATAGTACCCAGGAGTTAGGCAACTGTTGTAGGGTTGCCTCCTAGGGAGGCTCATTACTTCGATCTTGCGGGGGGACTTTGATACAAGCCTAGGATTGTGTGTGTGTACTCAATACATCTATACAATATATATACTCGGGCTTCCTGACCCTGACAATGGGAATTAATGAACCCACCCCTAGAATTGGTGGTGCTAAATTCCCTAGGTATGCCATATTGTAAAGTCACTGGGCTCTTGCTGGTTATGGACCTCTCTGGACATCGATGCCTAATAAGTTATAACAACTGCACTGGTGTATAGAACAAGACCAGTATTTACCTTAATAAAACCTAACAGTTTGTCTGCAATTGCTTAAAATAATTATATTACTATATTTCATTTCAGAGCAACAGGATTTACCACACGTTCTGATATTGGTCCTGCTCGTGATGCCAATGATGTTTCAGACGATCGACACGCACCACCTAGCAAGCGCAAGAAAAAAGATGATGATGATGATGAAGATCTAAATGATGCCAATTATGACGAGGTACTTTCTCTATAATATTGTAGTTTTCTTCATTAAGCTATTTTATTATACTGTACTCATATGGATTTGCCATAAGTATCTTTCATCTCATCATTTGCTCTTCTTACCCAACCCTTCCATGCATATAATTCTTTCAAATAATTTTTTTAGTGTGGCTTGTGTTAGTATTGGGTTAATCTCTGATACTCATGTGCTCCCTGCCTCATGCAAAGGGCAAGGGAAGATTGTACTTGTCCCCAGTAGACAAAGTCCTACAGATACATGTACCTGGTGTTGGCTTGTCTAATCAGTAACACGGTGAAGAAGCTCAGTGGGAACTGCTGATGTGTCTTTATAATTTATAATTACAGTGTAGTATCTCATTTACTGTAGAAGTCTGCAATTTTGTGATGGAATATCTTTTGTCTTCATTTCACAAATTTAGTCATGTGCTGTATTGCATTTTAATATTTTTTTAAAAGATAATTAATCCAAGTGATTAAAGTTGTATTTTTATAATCAGTGTTGAATACGTCATTGTAGAAAAGCTATGTATTTTCTATTGCAGTAATAGATATACTGTATATTCTTATTTATTTATTTATTTTTTCAGTTCAATGGCTATGGAGGATCATTATGTAGCAAAGATCCCTATGATAAAGATGATGAAGAAGCTGATGCCATTTATGATGAGATTGACAAGCGTATGGATGAGAAGAGGCGTGAGTATCGTGAACAGCGCCTGAAAGCAGAACTTGAGAACTATCGTCAGGAACGCCCAAAGATCCAGCAGATGTTCACTGACCTTAAACGAGAATTAGCAAATGTATCAGAAAATGAGTGGAGCACAATTCCAGAAGTAGGTGATGCCAGAAACAGGAAGCAGCGTAATCCAAGATCCGAAAGGTTTACACCTTTGCCTGATAGTGTTCTCTCTCATAATCTTGGAGGGGAGAATGTGACAACAATTGATCCAGGCTCTGGACTTGCTTCCATGATGCCTGGAACCTCAACCCCTGGAATGCTTACCCCAAGCGGTGATCTTGATTTACGTAAAATTGGACAAGCACGAAACACTTTAATGGGAATGAGATTGAACCAAGTGTCAGATGCTGTTGGTGGCCAGACTGTGGTAGATCCCAAGGGTTACCTGACTGACCTTCAGAGTATGATACCACAATATGGTGGGGACATAAATGATGTTAAAAAGGCAAGATTGCTTTTAAAATCTGTTAGGGAAACAAATCCTAATCATCCACCTGCTTGGATTGCCTCAGCACGTCTTGAAGAGGTGACAGGCAAGATCCAGTCTGCTCGTAATCTTATTATGAAAGGTTGTGAAATGTGTCCCAAGTCGGAAGATGTGTGGCTTGAAGCAGCTCGACTACAGCCTCCAGATATGGCTCGGGCTGTGATTGCACAAGCTGTCCAGACATTACCTCACTCGCCCAGAATATGGATTAAGGCTGCAGATCTGGAGTTGGAGTTAAAGGCAAAGAAAAGAGTCTATCGCAAGGCCCTTGAACAAATTCCTAATTCTGAGCTTTTATGGAAATTGGCTGTGGAGCTGGAAGAGGAGGAGGATGCTAAAATTCTTTTAAGCAGAGCTGTTGAGTGCTGCCCCACATCAGTAGATTTATGGTTGGCTTTGGCCCGATTGGAAGTGTATGAAAACGCCAGGAAAGTTCTTAATAAAGCACGTGAGAATAACCCTAAAGATCGCCAGATTTGGATTACTGCAGCAAAATTAGAGGAGGCCAATGGCAATAACACTTTAGTTGGTAAGATTATTGAGCGTGCAATCTCAACATTGCAAGCTAACATGGTTGATATTAATCGAGATTTTTGGATTAAGGATGCCATGGAGGCAGAGCATGCAGGAGCTGTCCTGACCTGTCAGTCTATTATCAAAAATATAATTGGTTACGGAGTTGAAGATGAAGATCGTAAACATGCATGGATGGAAGATGCAGACAGCTGTGCCACCCAGGGTGCCTATGAATGTGCACGTGCAATCTATAGCCATGCTCTTTCAATATACCCAAAGAAAAAGTCTGTCTGGCTAGCTGCTGCACACTTTGAGCGAAGTCATGGGACAAGGGAATCATTAGAAGCGCTGCTGCAACAAGCTGTAACGCACTGTCCACAAGAGGAAACTCTCTGGCTTATGGGTGCTAAATCAAAATGGCTTGCTGGGGATGTCCCAGCAGCTCGATCAATCCTTGCATTAGCATTCAAAGCCAATCCAAATTCTGAAGAGATTTGGCTGGCTGCTGTCAAATTGGAGTCTGAAAATAATGAATATGAACGTGCAAGGCGTTTGCTTTCAAAAGCTCGTTCACAGGCAGCTACTGCTAAGGTGATGATGAAATCTGCTCATTTGGAATGGGCATTGGGTAATTTGGATTTAGCCAGAACATTACTTGATGAAGGTATCAAGGAGGTAGGTGACTTTGCCAAGTTGTGGATGATGAAAGGTCAAATCCTGGAACAACAAGGTAAAAAAGACGCTGCATGGGAAGTTTATAGGGATGCTGTCAAACGATGCACATCCTCGATACCTCTCTGGAGGCTTCTGGCAACTCTAGAAGAACAGCAAGGGAAATTAGTTACAGCAAGAGCCACACTAGAGAAGTCGAGAGTTCGTAATCCAATGAATGAAGAACTGTGGTTGATGGCAATTCGGCTAGAACTTCGAGCAGGACAGCGTGAAGTGAGTCGGTCCTTAATGGCACGTGCACTTCAGGAGTGCCCCACATCTGGTATTCTGTGGGCACAAGCTATATTCTTAGAGGACCCCGCCCAGCGAAAGAGTCGCAGTGTTGATGCTTTGAAACGTTGTCAGGATGATGCGCATGTTGTTTTAGCAGTGGCAAAAATGTTTTGGATGGATGGGAAAAAGAACAAAGCACGAGAATGGTTCAACAAAACAGTTAAAATTGATCCCGATCTGGGTGATGCTTGGGCATGGTATTATAAAATGGAAATTCTATTTGGCTCAGAAGACCAACAGCTGGAAGTGAAGAAACGGTGCATGGCAGCTGATCCACGCCATGGCGAGCATTGGTGCATGGTTTCTAAACATATTGACAATTGGAGAAAGAAAACGCCAGAAATTCTTCAACTAGTTGCAGATAGACTTCCCATTCCTGTGATGAACAGAGAAGTTTACTGAGACTAAAGTTTTGTAAATATTGTATGATTTTATATATATTTACATGTTAGCATAATTTTCTTTGAGAGTTGTGTGGTATCTAAGATTTTTGTATCTAATTCATTTCATTATTCATATTTCACTTCATAATCATCAAATTGATAACTGGTCAAATTTTATGAAGTACATTACTACTTCATTCAGCAGGTTTTGTAGTATGTATTGTTTAATAATAACTCTACAAGAAGTCAATTTGTTTTACTTAACTGTCATGTAGCAGCAATATTCACATAAGGAATCATTTAACAAAGCAAGAGTGAAATTTATTGCATGTGCTATGTTATGAAATTAATGTACAGTAATTGTAAGTACTGTATAATACTGTACTTTATACTTTAAACACTTTTCCATTAAACTTATTTTAATTCATTTGGGGATTCACTATTGCTACCATTATGATTTAAATTCTCAATATAAGAGATTCCTTATATTAGTTATTTCCTATATATATTTTAATCCATAAAAAATTATGGATGTCAATCAGCAAACAACTTACGCAATCATCAGAAGAAATCTTAACATGCATGATGTACTATTATAAACTTGTCAGCAGGATACAGAAAATTCTTTATGTGCATTTCATTCTATATTTTTTGTGATTTCATGCTGCCTCAGAAATGGGTAAACAAGTATTGATGCATTTGATGAGCAAATGAAACGTGACTGTAAACTTATCTGAATTAAAATAACATTGATGAGAGAGGCAAGCAAATTTATTTATTACTGTACTTACATTACAGCATATAGTTACTGTATTTATACCAAAAATAATGGGAGGACTTGTATGCTTGAAGCACACTGTGTATTAGTGGCTTTAGGCAGTGTTTTTATCTTGCTTATAAACCCTCCATTATTTGTGTATCTATGTATGTATGTACTTGTGCCCATATATTATTATTATTTTATTAAGTTAGGTGGGGTTGGTGAAGGCCAATAAAGAATTTAATCTTTTGCAATCATCAGATGTCTAAAGTGTAGAAATTTGCTTTGTAGAACACTATATTACTAACTTAATGTTTGTCCCCAGTTTGTTTGTTTGCCATTTGGTGGGTGGAGTGTTGATAACATACCTAGTTAACCCCAACCATGTCTTGCTGATCCAAATTGGTATTGTTAACACCACCTGATTTTTATTACCCAAACCTGATTTTATTGACCCCAAGTTAGTTTTGTTAACCCAGTTAGGTACTTTATATTGGGCAAAGTTTCCAAGCATTGTATATTTCAGTAACTTAGAATGCCTCAATTTGTTAACGCTCAGAAGTCGTACAAGGTTATTAGAGATGTTTGTGCATGCAACATTGACCTATATGTATATGGTACTCTACATAGGATCTTTGCCATGTAAAAATATTTTAATTTAAGTTTTATGGATTGCATCTATACTGTAGTAATCTAGCCACCTGAATACTGCATATATTTTCCACTAGAGCTGAGGGCAGAAAGATTTCTGGTTTACCTCTTTCATTCTTTATGGATTTTAAACCTGTAAAAATATAATTGCTTTTACTTCACTTAGTATAGTGTTACATTATTAACATAGCTTATATTTTTAACATATAGTGTAGTGTTGTATAGTATATTAAGCAATTTCTTGGCCTTTCAATTTTGCAATAAACTTGTTTTTAATTTATTGCAAATAAATTTCATTCATATTTTTTTCACAAGTATAAAATATCATAAACTTGCAAGTTTCTTGACATATTGTTTGCCTTGCCTTAATTATCAGCATTACCCTATTTCCCCACTTTCATGGAATGGACAGGCATCAGCCCAAAAAAAAAGATAATCAATATGAAAAAAATAGTTATAGATATTACAAAATATGGGTATAGTTACAGTATTACTTGCTCTGAGCCATTAAACCTCACCTTTCACCTCAAATTTTTATCTTATATATATTGACTTTATCTACCAATCTTTCCTTAAATTATATAGTCCATAATGGTAATAATAATAGTCCAGGATGGACCAGAACATTGTCACTTAGTGAGCGTTATGTGACAGTGTTGGGAAGACGGGACACCACGAGTGTAGCTCTCATCCTGTAACTACATTTAGGTAATTACTTCCTTTATTTTCAGATGTGTGGGTTAAGTGGCTAAAATAGTACTCATTCATCAACAAGTAAAAGGGATGAAACAAGGAGCTGCTTCAGTCTTTTATTATTTGATGTTTGACCCACTGTTAATAGAGTTAAGATCTAATAGGACTGGTTAATGCATAGGCAGTATTAAAGCTGCTGATCTTGACCAATTAGAACCTACCAAATATACTATTAAAAGATGTGTTTAGTGATATACAGTAGTGACAATGCAACCTGATATTCAATCGGTATCGGTTTAAGTTGTATGGCCGTGATCTATGGGACCTGCAAAATGCTGACTTTAGTAGGCTAAATTGGGCATGGAGGGAATGTTCTAGATGTATTTTAGGTGTCCATTTTTACACTTAATAGACTTGCTGCCTGATGTCAACATGTACATTTTAAACAAATTATTCTGGGACACCATATGCTACTTTATATGACTTTGATGGGAAGCCAGCGGATTGTCAAAGGTTTTTCCATTATTCCTTCGCATTTTTTCCAGCTGACTTTTGAACTGAATTAAAGAAAAAATATATAAAAATGGATTGCAATGATTGTTCATGCTGTAGTTGTGACCCATGGCTTAGAGAATCACTCTCCATGTTAAAGGAACATTAACTGCCTGAGGGTTATCAAGACCACCACAGCAGCTTACTGACCAACCATACCTTAGTCCAGAACTAAGGTAAACTCTCAGTATACACCGAGAAGCAGGTATATATACACAGTGATTTCTGTGTGTATAGGTATGTATAGAGTTTTGTGAAAGTATTGGATGGGACACGTGTGTGACGTCACGGGGATCCGGCTCGCAGGTGGGCTCAAGAACGCTCCTGACAGCCACTCGGGGTCTGGTTAAATCGTACATAACCGGTTTAGATACCGTCGGTTCGGTATACAAATAACCAGTTCGTTCACAGACAATTTTGTATACCTTTCGTGTATACATATGCGTTGGCATGTGTTCGTTGTTGTTCTCGTCTTCCAAGACAATAAAATGACCAATACGAGACAGTAGAGTTTGTTATAAATTATTTGGAATAATCAGAGGGCACTTGATTATATTATAATAATATCCGACCAGGCACATCCCCGGAGCCCAATCATGCCCACCCTCAGTTTTGCAATCAAAATTAATTTTAAATTAATTGTAATGTCCTTGTCGCAGAAGCCATGCGGACATTGTTTTTTTATATGCATACTTAATAAAAAGGGTCAGGATTAAATTGTTGTGAATCCCATCACGCTGGACTGCTTGCACTAAATGAAGTCAAGGGTGAAGAGGTGTGAACGCCATCTGTATCCAATGTACCAATGTACCTTCTTGTATATAAATAAATAAATAAATAAATAAATAAATATGGAACGTACAAAGCGTTTTGTACGAAATGGGTTCCGTGTTGTGTACCAAGTGACTTGTATCCCTAGGCTCACCAGGCGTCAACATCACACGTCATTTCTCAGTGTTTATAATAATATTCTGTGAGTACTTGAAGGCTACTTAGCCATATATAATAAACAGTAACCGCATGATATAATGTGTATTGTTTCCCATGCACAAGTTTTTAGCGAGTAGAGGAAACTTTTGTGTGAAACGTGGTCAAGAATATTACAAGAGCTTAGCTATCCTAGTCTAATGGTTCATCTTGTTTCCCGGTTGTCGGGGGGACAGGAAGCCTGCACTTATACTAATCAAGGTTTGCCTTGGCCAGTGACTGACTTTCCCTAGGATATAACCCACAGTAATTGTCTTAACTCTTGGGTACCTAGTTATTACTAGGTGCACTGAGGCATCAGGTGAAAGGAAACATACCCTCTCTGTCTTGCCTAGGGATTGAACCTGGGTTGTCAGGTTACAAGTAGGACCAATGCATTTCATATATATGAAGTGCATACCCTATATGTATCTATATATATACTGTATATATATGTAGAGAGAGAGCATGCTATGTACTCTCATCTGTCTAACTCCCAGGTACCTATTTACTGATAGATAACAGGGGCATCAGCGTAAAAGAAACTCTGCCCATTTGTTTCCGCTACCACTGGGAATCGAACCCGGAACCTCAGGACCACGAATCCGAAGTCCACTGAGTCTACTCAGCTGTCAGGCCCCTAAGGTAGCTAGGAGTTAGTCAGCTTGTTGTGGGGTTGTGTCCTGGGGAAATGGGGACCGCGATATAAGCCTATTATGTATAAACACACACTGGCTGCCTGTTTCCCAACACATATATTGACAAGGATAGTCAATAAAGATAGATAAATATTAGGATAAAAATTGCCTCTACAGAAGACACTGAAAAACTACAGGCAGATATTAATAAAGTCTTTGATTGGGCAACTGAAAACAACATGAGGCTTAATGGTGATAAGTTCCAGGTACTGTACTTAGGTATGGTGAAAATGAGGAACTTAAACGAAACACAGGGCTAGGATTGACTAGGATACATCAGCCTTGTGACGTTGAGTTTGTAGTATTGTTAGTCCTGAGGCCCTCAACCTTTCTTGGTAAGAAACTTTACCAAGCTCTGGTATGATTTTATATATTTAAATCTGTGGTTTTCATAGAAAAATCTCACAAAATTTAATTTTATTTATTAATGTTATTTAAAAAACTCCACACTTGGAAGTGAACCACTGAAATTGTATACCCCTCCAAGGTATTGATGAACTATTGAAATGTTAGCCATATGAATGTCTCTAATTTACTCTTTGGCATATGATACCACCTGTACATTTATTATCTTACTTTAATTTGCAGCTCCTTATTTTTTTAGTCAACCATTTAAACATTTATCTTAAATCTTTATCTCATTTATCTGCAAGCTACATATTCTTTCCAGCTTGGTACCTTCTTTTGATAATTACTTAAGATCTGCAAATAAAATTGTCTTTATTGATATACAGTTTGCTGTACAGTACAAAAATTGCATAATACTCATTTAATTACAGCTGTTAAGATGGCCAATCGCACAACTGCACACAGACGTAAATGGGCACTGGACCTAGCAGGTCGAAGAGGAGAACGTGGTAGTGATAATCTGCCAGCACCTCCAGGTTATAGAAGTTCAGTGAACCAGGTTCATGCTGAGGCCAACAGGCAAGGAGACCCAAACCTTGTCATTAAAAAAGCTTGGGATACTGCACTTAGTCCGCTAAAGTCGGTGAGTTTTTATGCATGCACCTACCTGCCATGGGCACATAATCATTGGATATATCTAACAATTAGATATATCCAATATATCTAATTGGATATATCCCCACACACCCTAGACAACTAGGTCATGACCATGTCATAGCCTAGTTGTCTAGGCATGTGCATGGGAACACCCACTGCATATGTTTGACTCCTCATCACCGCTCCTATGGATTTTCTCACTGATACATCACGTTAGTGTGATTACTCGTGTAATGAAAGTGGTATTTAGAGTACTGACACGTTTAATTATAATATGAATGGAGGATTAGATTAGATTTTCCTATGAGAATAGTTATTCAGTAATTTGACCTGGATCTTTCCAGAAGGGGGTTCTGGGAGTTCTTCTACTCCCCAGGTTTGTATGTCCTCATTTCACTCTCACTATAGATATTAAGATTATGTTCAAGCTATTTCTGTACAAAATTCACCTCTGCTACAAATATTGTGTAACAAAAGCAAAGCAGATCTGAAATGAGTGGAAAATCCCAAAACCATAATAAATATTAAAATTGCTTAATGACCATCTGAATGATGGATATCCACCAGGAAAACCTGACTAAAGATATTCATCTTTGTCCCCAGAATTTCTTAGGCCCCAGCCTCAAAACCTTATTTTCAAAGGTCAGACCATGACCCCCTAAAGGTGAAAATGATCATGCCTAGTTGCCTTACCAATCCTATAATCTTTAGCTCGAGATTTTCCATGAGATATCAAGGTTTTTTTTCAGTATCCAGAGAGCCTTTCAAACTGATTCCCTGCTTTCTCACACTTGCCATACCTGCTCTTCTCTATCCTCAAAAGATACTTCAGCATTCTCTTATCTACTAGATGGGGGTACTTGGCTGTGCCTGTGGGTCTACCCCTTCCCCTGGCCCCCTCTCCTTCTTTCTCCCCCACATCCATTCTCCCTCTTAATCTCCCTGTCTCTTGCCTCTCCACCAACATCACCCCATCACTATTATCTCAGAAAATGTAATACTGTAACCTGAGTGAGTTCACATTCATTTTTGAGTAAACTACGAAAATGCAGCATGGGTTAAAATGGTGAGAATAAGCATTGTAACTTTACAGAAAACATAACCCCTGATTGTATTTCAGACTTCATGAAAATCCCAGGGGTTGCTTTAGATGCTAATATATATTAAGTGTTGCACTGGGGCAAACCCTAACTTGCCTGTGTCACTCCTGTAATCCCCCATGATTCATCTTTGAAAGTTGAGTGAGGCTAGCCCAAGCATCTAGCTTTCAACATAGGATAGACATACAGACATTATAAACCGACATATTCTTTTATCAACATGCCCATATCATCTCGATATACCTTAATCTAGTGATATAGTACCTTTAACATTTCATGTCTTTCCACAAATTTTAATTTGTACAAGTAATCATTCATAATCTATTCTCCTGATGCCACATATGTTTTATCAGTCTCCATTTCTACTGCAGATATTGAAACTTAGATCAGCTGCCAGCACTTCATTAGTCACAGTTTTATCCTCTCCACAAAACTTTTAACTGTACAGTACAGTATTCTCACTCGCATTGATAACATTTTAACTAGTCTACATAAATCTGTATCATTTTGCTACAGGAAGTGTAGTATCTGGAGGAAATAAATTTGGCATATTCCTATCCCTAATTTCATACAGTAGGTTTCCATCTTTCTTATATTCTTTGACTTTCATGAATACCATCTTTTTATATATTGAATCACCAATGTGCCATCACTCAACCTTGGCATGCACCTATATTAATATCAAACTAATCACTCTATGCTTTAGAAAGGAACAAGGTAATAAAATTAAAACGTATAATTTTCCCTAGAAATGTTAAAAATTATAGCACACATTGCAGTATGATTTAGCATATAAATGGGAGGGAGAGGTTCCTTTGACAAGCTGCTGGCATCATGTCCTTGTCAAGGCCACCAGAAAGATAGTGGCCCTCAAATAAATTAAGGTAAATTATGGCAGTGTGATTGAATTCTGTACTGCAAATTTAGACAAAGAACTTAACACTTTGCACGGGTAAAAACGTACACTCTTAACTTCCTCTAGCAAAATAAGTGAAACTTGGATAGTCAGTAGCAGCATTTCTCAACCTTTTCAACCCTATGGAACCCTTGAAATAATTTTCATGTTCAAGTAGCTTCTGCATAAAAATTATTGTATACAGTAATATATATTTATATATATTTTTTGTCACAAAATCAACCATATCTGTAAACACAAAATATAAACTTTGACAGTTTTCTCTCAGAACCCAGTTGAGAAACACTGGTCTACAAATTTCACTTTTATACTTTTTAATAATAGACTTGTAGTTAATTATCTAATCGTAAATAATTATCACTAATGTTTGATTTTTACAGGTACCAATGAACTTGTTTTTAATGTTCATGGCTGGAAGCAGTATCAGTATATTTCCCATTATGATGGTGGGCATGATGCTGTTGCGGCCAATCAAGGCACTTTGGGCCACAAATGCCACTTTTAAGACCATTGAGGGTACACATGCCGGACTACAAGTAAGTTTAATTAACTTTTTCCACCAATAACGCAAACTTTCTTGACATTTTTGAGCTGCATGCACATCATATTTTTGTATTTATAAATAACCATTATTAGGCATTTTTGTAATACTGTACTGTATTACTGGATAATATTGAAGTTGAAGAAGAAGGCTCACTTGTGGTGTACTATATGCTTTGGAAATGTTAAGTTATGTATTGGTTTGTTTCTAGATTATTTCCACTGCAAATTACATGCTAGAATCAAACATCCAAATGGCTCCCAGGTTGTACAACTTACACCATGTTGTGGTACATGGGTAAAGTGCATGATTGGGAATAACCCGATCATTTATGTACAGTACTGCCATCACAGTCAACTTAATTATATAAAATAACATTATTTTTTTTCTTCCCCCAGAAACTGATCTATCTGTTGGGAAACCTGGTGAATGTTGGTTTGGCGGTATATAAATGCCATAGCATGGGAATACTTCCTACCCATGCCTCAGACTGGCTGGCCTTCCAAGAACCTGCTATACAGATGGAGTTTTCACAAGGAGGAATGACACTTTTGTAGAATTTTGATAGCATGAAGGCCAATTCAGAGTTTTGGTTGACCAATATTGTGTAGTGGCAGCAATTCATGTCACTTGTATAATGTATATATTTGAATAGATGTTTAGCAGTTCTTTAATGAGTCCTAAATTTGCATTGCTACATGTAAAGACATTGGCATATGGCCTATCCATGTAATATATTTGTCTTGCATTACTTTAGGATGATCATGTACTAATGTAATAGTTTACTATAATAGTCAAGGTATTTAAACCCTAAAATTATGGATCGGTTAAAATGAGTCCTGAGAATTATGAAAGCTTGGTGTTTTTCATGTAACATATAATTAATAAATAAATATAAACAAAAAGACATTTTATTTACCAGGAAATAATTGATAAAATGTTGAGGGGCTAAATTATTACTGCCAATCTGTTGGCAGAGCTTTGGAACCACCACTAAATTGACAATCAATTAGACTGAATATTCAATATAGAATTAATTTTCTTGTACAGGCAGCTGGTCTAATCATTCATAGCTCTTCAGAGTTGAATGCTCTAATGCCCTTGTCTTACTTGGTCTAGTCTCATATTTCCTGGGCAGCGGATACATACACTCCTCTTACAAAGTTTTGCTTGTCCTTAGTCGCACATGTTCTTGTGGAGTGTCCAGGCTTTCAGGACGTGCGTCTCTTGCTTCCAGTCTGTCCCTCCATAGAATCTTTGGCGAATCATATCTTTGACATCACTCTCCTCAAAGACTTTCATGGTGCTACAAAAGTCTTGCCATCTTGGTGCCTTCTTTTGGTAATTAACTCAAACTTTTGTAAGACTGACCTACATAGGTAAGCAGGCTTGTCACAATAACGTGGCTGAAATATGTTGACCAAACCACACGCTAGAAAGTGCAGGGACGACATTTCGGTCCGTCCTGGACTATTCTCGCAATCAACCTGAGAATGGTCCAGGACGAAACGTTGTCGTCCCTTTACTTTCTAGTGTGGTTTCGTCTACATGGGAAAGGCTTTTTTTTCCCTCTTACCCTTCTGAAACTCATTAAAGTTTCATTTACACTCCCTATCTGTGAAGAGTGCAATGGTCAGTGACAACAGTGCCGGCTACTTTTGGTCTGACGAAACCTATATATGCCACATGCCTCAGATTAGCCTCTACGGTGGAACTTTATTAAATTTTGTATGCACTTTATCATTTGAGGGCACACTGTCTATCAGTTTAAATTCAACTTTTCTAAAATCTGTTCAACAAAATGGCCAATTTGGCTTTAGTTAGATGCTCACCCCATCTTTGTTAAGTGGAGACGCTGCTGCCGAGGCTAACTGCATTTAGATTTCTACCCACTCTTCCATTGACCTTATGCTCCTTGTTCCACTTCAGTCATGCACCTTGCAGTGTCCAGATTTTCAGGACTATCTGTCTTTCCCTTGGAGGTAATTTGTATTAAATACCCTAGATATACACGTTCTCATATTGGCACCCAACACTGACAGTGCCAGTGTTCCCAGCACGGTGCTTTTTGATAATCATTCATAAAAGGTAATAAAAATTCCAGCTCAAAACATCTTAATTTAATATAGGGAAGAGTTATTACCCCTTAATTATCTACACAAGCTTATCTACACTTTGTACAAACATTCAGCACTTACAATTATCAAGTTAATATAACATGCAACATGTATTCACTTAAGGTATGATGATGATATGAAGATGAAAATGGAGTACAATCTGATGCAGCAGCCCAGTTTGGAATGATAAGTGTTCTCCGAACTTGTGCAAAATGAGTTTAGTTCATTCAAATTACCTTTGACCCTGTGCTTTTTCTGCATACTGTAACAAACAAAAAACTCAGTTATACCAAAATTGGTCATGTTCAAAAACAAAGGAACTGACATTAACACGGGGAAGTGCTTTCAGTACAATCTTATTAAATAAATTGTCTTACATCATGCCACCCATTCCCCCCATACCACCCATTCCTCCCATGCCACCCATTCCTCCTCCCATACCACCAGCTGGCTCCTCCTTAGGGATCTCTGTGATGACTGCCTCTGCTGTGGTCAGAAGTGAAGCAACACCAGCAGCATCTGTAAGAGCTGTTCGCACAACCTGTGAACATTAAATGAAATTAGAAAATGCTAAAAAAATAAAAATTCAATACCTATTTAATCAGTCATATGGATTGAATCAAAGCAGGCATCCTCCATCTCCATATAGGGTTGTCTAGAGATCGAAATTGATAATCCTGCATTTTGTAGGAAATTTGTATGCTAAAATACAAAGTTATGATTAAGTAAAAACCATTTGGCTAAGGTCAAGTTAATATACAAGCCAACAAAACCTTAAGCATATGAAGATGTCCAAAAGGCCAAACCATATATGCACATTATTGTTCAGTGGGGTAACTTTTGGTCTGCAGTGAAAAGAATGGCACAAACTAAGCAGCGAGACTTCACGGCCAATAAAAGATGGGAACTGCACAAGTAACATGCAGCTCAGTATAATTATTAAAAGCTTGTAGCCGTGGAGGCATTAAAAATACAATTGCATAGTGCGAAGTCCTAAGTTTCTTATTTCAAGGTCTGCAATACATTAACCAGATTCTGCAAATTTTACCACACTAAAATGACGATATTGATTTTTATGCCATACCATAAGTCACATTTCACATTGCTTACCTTTGTTGGATCAATAATTCCTGCTTCAATGAGATTCACGAAAACCCCATTTGCAGCATCATAACCAGTGTCACCAGAAGCTTCAATTACTTTGTTGACAATTACCGAAGCATCCACACCAGCATTCTTAGCAATGGTAAGGCAAGGTGTCTGAATAGCCTTACGGATAATTTCTATGCCCATTCGCTGGTCATTATTGGCAGGGGTAAGTTTGTCTAGTGCTGGTATGCAACGAATTAGAGCAACACCACCACCAGGAACAATACCCTCTTCAATAGCAGCTCTAGTTGAACAAAGGGCATCATTAACACGGTCCTTCTTTTCATTTACTTCTATCTCTGATGATCCTCCGACCTTAATTACGGCAACACCTTTAGATAGTCTCGCCATTCTTTCTTGCATTTTTTCCTTCTCATACTCAGAACTGCTCTCTTCTATCTGCTCAGTGAGTTGAGCAATACGTCTCTCAATGTCCAATGTCTTGCCTTTCCCTTTCAGAAGAAGTGTGTCATCCTTTGTAATCTGTACTTCTCCAACGACCCCAAGATCATGCAGCTGGATAAAAATAACAAGGTCATTAAATATTTCATGATTATTTTAACAAATTTTCTTTAGCAAATGAAGATGCATGATAGTTAAACTTTCAAGCAGTACACCCAATGAAAATATTAAACCAAGCCAATTTCCAATCACATTTTTTAAAGAATGTTCACAACACAAATATTCCCTGCGAAAACACCAAAAATATCATCCAGGCTTTCAAAACATTCATAAGTAACTTACTTGAACGTCCTCAATCTTCACCATACTGGCTTCATCATTGAAAACTATACCACCAGTGGCAATAGCAATATCTTGTAGAGTATTCTTTCGATTGTCTCCAAAACCAGGAGCCTTGACTGCTGCAATCTGCAAGCCAATCTTCAAACGATTCACTACAAGTGTGCTCAATGCTTCTCCATCAACATCTTCAGCAATGATTACAAGTGGCTTCCTGTGGTTAAATTCAGAATACTGGTATTAATAATTCACCATCTCAATTACTGATATCAATGCAAATACTCAAATACTATTACAGAAAAATGCTTGCCCATAATGTTACATAGATGACAGTAAATGAACTTGCCTCTGTGCATTGGCAAGCTCCAGTACTGGGATGATAGACTGGATCGATGAAATTTTTTTCTCCGACAGTAGTAGTAGTGCATCTTGAAATTCGACCTTGGCACCTTTGCTTGTATTGATAAAATATGGAGAAATGTAACCTCGGTCAAACTTCATTCCTTCAATCACCTAATGGAAAGAGAAACGTGCAGTCAAGAATACAATACATACAAATTAAAACATCCACACTAACTTGCCATATCAGATTCGTTGTATTTCAGTCAGTGAATGTATGTAGGGGAATCCAAGAATTCATCATACATGTAAAGAATTGACACACAATACACACGAATATTAATGAAAAACAATCACATGCAGACAATAACAAAATTAAGGCACCAACCTACAAATTTTAGTAAGCGAGGACATTTCAGTCCATCCTAAACCATTATCAACTAGAAAAATATTTAAGGACTGTGGAAGGCAGGTGAAGTTAGCCACAGGAAAGGCCAAGTTGATGAATTTTTTTTTTAGCAACAGTATAGCAAGCACTACTGCCTTCTTTCAAACATGTTTACTTAGTAATATAATTAAGTTAATTTAATTGAGTCGAGGCACATCTACTTGCCAGAGAACAATTGGCAATATAAAAATGTTAAAATTTACCAGAGAACTTTAACAATGCCTTTTAACCTAGAGTCAGGAACTTGTGGTACTTTCTTGGCATTTGTGCTTCAAGTAGTGCACCGCATTTTCTAGCCAACAATATTTGACCTAGTTAAGAGTATCCCTGGTAGTATACCTAGTTAGATTAGTCAGCAAAGTACAGATTAGAAAACGAAACAAGACAATTACGAAAATTAAATTCGTAACCAGGCAGCATTCAAATTAACATGCCCGAGATAACTGTAACAAAATATTGGACAAACTTTCAGATTTAAATATAATTACTGTAAGCAAGCACATAGTTGTCCAACTTTGTTAAAATGTCTTAAAATGTTAACCAAAAATTAATTTTGTAAAAAAAATAATGCAATGGTCCCATAAATTTATTTAATCAAACCAATAATTATGTATATGGACTTAAATTTCAGAATCATTAACAAAACACTAATGGTTCTCCATTGCCAATATTCCTGTCATACTTGGTTTACAAAATAAGACTTCAACAATACAAGGCATGCTTTGTGCACATCTAAATATAGGATACTAAGTGCTTAAAATAATCTTTAGAAACTGCATTCAATTTGTAGCAATGAGACATTACCTCCAGCTCATCCTTTAGTGTCTTGCCATCCTTCACAGTTATTACACCACTGCGACCAACCTGCAAAATATCAGCAAGTTTCTATTAAGATGATTTCTCAGTGCTAGGACACTTTTCCAATACAAATATGAACTCTTCTTGGCTATTAAGAGACATTTATTTATATTTATAGTAGTATGTATATTTCTCTAAGGTTCAAAACAAAGTATAGGGAAACACGGGTGGATAGGCAAAATATACCTACTGTAGGTGCTCTTGTTTAATAAAATGTTCTCTCTGCTCATCCAAATTTGTAGTTATAACCCCAAAATGAAAGTGAGAAATCAGCATCAGCATAGGAAAATCAACCCTACAGGTTGACACCAACCAGCCCATGAAGCCCAGAATGTTTACAGCCTGAAATGTGCAGAGAGGCTGGACCACCAGTATTAACTGTGGTGGGAAAGTGGATCGAGAGAAAAGGAGGGAGGGCGAGGAAGGTCTATTGTTATGTCTAATGGTCGAGATGTGCAATTACAATGTGCATAGCCTAACACTATCAAGCTCTGTAAAGCTGAATAATGAAACAAATGTTAAAAGAATTTCTTATTATGGTAAAATTAAATGTGTAAAATCCAAATTTCACTTCTAGTAGGATCTGCATTGTTAACCAAATGGTTGGGCACTGTTCCTATGCTCCATCTTCACATCCCTGCCCCTTTAAGAGCCCATTTGTCAAATTAAACAATGAATAATACATTAACTTTATTTTTACCTTCTCCATGGCAGATGAAATTAGTGCACCAACATCTTGGTCCCCATTAGCAGATATTGTGGCAACTTGTGCAACCTCTCCTGGAGTGGTGACTTGGCGGGAGAGGCTTCTCAAATGCTCAACTACAGCATCAACTGCCACCATTACACCTCGCCTTTAATCAAGAAAATGGTTACCTATTTGCAAATTGTAAAGTGACAGTGAAAACTAACTTATAATTTCAGAATTGGATCTGCAAGATCATTAGTTATCACGTGCTGTTTATCATCATACAAATTAGGTAATTTTGAGAACTACATGCAATAAAATTGTTTTTTTTTTAAGACCATTGCTTTACTATACAATGGTCTTTAATATTACCCGCCAATACACCAAGGCATTCCATAAATTAACAACTTTCAATTTGTTTATAAAACAAGACCTAATCATCTTACCTAATCTCAATAGGATTGGCACCTTTGCTAATTCTATCGAAGCCTTCCTTGGCAATTGTGCGAGCCAGGACTGTAGCGGTAGTTGTGCCATCTCCAGCTTCTTCATTTGTGTTGTTTGCAACATCTTGTACAAGCTTTGCTCCAATATTCTGGAACTTGTCTTTTAACTCTACTGCCTTTGCAACAGTTACTCCATCTTTAGTAATCTTGGGGCTGCCCCAGCTCTGCTCAATAATAACATTACGACCCTAGAAACAAAATTAAAATTAGCACAAACGGTTTCAGAATTATACTCAAGTATGATCAAATGCTGAATTCAAGATTCCCCTTATCAAGTTAACACTATAGCACTGTTCAAACGCAACTTGCGTTTGATTTTTTTTCTCCGAGTCCGAGCATCGGACATGATGTGCGTTGATAAAATAAATTTGTATAAAATTAATTTATTATCTGATTGACTTCGGGATAGTTTCAAAATGAGCACCTTTAGAGGGCACACAATTTTATACCAAAATGAAAGATGTAACATGAAACTTGATGTCAGAACACTTGAAAAATTATAAACACTTTTGGTCAAAATTTTAAAATGTTAAAATTCTATTTATTGTGCTATTATTATGGGAATAGTTTTACAATGCATGCCTGTACATTATGAACAATATTTGATACCAAAATGAAAGATGTAACACGAAAATTATGTCAGAACACCGGAAAGATAAATAATTGTGTGATGACAAGCGTCCATAATTAAAATTCCATTTATTGCTCTACATATTATGCGAGTAGTTTTAAAATATGCCTCTTTTTATTGCGAACAATTTGATACCAAAATGAAAGTAACAAAAACTGATGTTATCAAACTGAACGAGTATACACATTTGGCTGCGGATGTGCAAATTGGTGCTCGTTCACGGGTAACTTTAGGCTTTGCTAAAGGGAGTCACGCTGGGCTTTTGGACAATATATGCATATAGAACACCTGCGGGGAATTTAATAGCGAACACAATGATACCAAAACGAACAACGTAGCACGAGAATTAAGGTTAGAAAACCGCAACTAGTACACATTTAGTGTTGCCGAGTGCTCATCTGCACTGCCAGGAGTTGTTCGTGCATACGCCTGGGACGTGAATGTGTTAACATTCTACCACTAATACAAAACCTTAAATACAAGCACCAGTATGAATGTTTTATCTTTGCCTTACAGCAGTGAATTTTGGTTTGTTGGGTGAATGGTTACAATATGCCTCCAATAAAGTTTATAACGATTTTCATAGACAAGTGTAACATTACAAGAAATAGTGAGGGGCCTTGGTAAAGCCTTAAGAATTTACTTAAAGCCAAATTCCATGGTTCACTTTGAGATTACCAGGTTTTCATTCACTAACATAGGTCCCTATTCATTTGAAATGGAGATTTCAAGTCTAGGAAATGAGAAATATGCTAGATGTATTTATATATCTTTACAGCCATTTCTGAATGCAACAAACCCAGAGATGATCTTGTATGGCTCACAAAATCGAGGTTGTACTACATACGAAATAAAGAACTTAGAAATGCATGAAAATAAACAAACCTTAGGGCCCATAGTAACTGCTACAGCATCAGTCAGCACATCAACACCCTGTAGCATGAGGGCTCGTACTTCGGACCCAAACCTGACATCTTTGGAGTAAAGTTTCGCTTGAACACTGAGCGAAGCCTGACGAGCTGCCGGCAGTCTCAACAGAGAAGCTACTCGGTACATTTCTGAAATTTAAGGTTCAACACTTTAAAATAAGCACATTAAAATCACTAAAAATATTGTTTACCCCACAACCACAAGCCATGCTAAATAAGAAAACTTTTGGAAATTTGGCTGTCCTGATCCCACCAGGAACTAGGATAAAAAATTTAATTTACAAAAAATTTGCATTTCTCTCCCAATCAATTTACATAACTACAGCACAAATATATAATTCAAATGACCTGAATCACATTTGAATAGCCTACCTACCCTGTACCATACAGCATCTCCATTTAACTACTGCATATTTCACCCCTACTCCCATCTCGAGTCAAACAAATAATTTTAATTATCTATATGATAAAGTTGATCTGCCCTTTCCAGCCGAGATGTAGTTCGCTAACAGATTAATCAGCATTTAAAAGTGTATAAGTCACTTCATACTATCAGCACTTCTCAACCAGGATTCTGTGGAGCCCAAACTGGTATTCTGGCAGTAATGCATAGACTAATTCTAATCCCATGCAAAACATATTAATCATTTGTGTTTACTTATTTAACCACCATCAAGATCAACGACTGTCTCCTTTAAATTGACAATGAAATTTTGTACACGGCTAACTTTAGGGGTTAACAGTATATGGATACTTCTGACCAAATACATCCTATAATTCCTATAATTTTAGGATAGGCTGTGCTACCACCTGCCAGGATCTATTAAAAGACATATCTAACCTCCCATAAAGCTATTAGTGTAAAAAATTACCCTCAAGAAAAATCCCAGGGTGTGGTTATTTTCGTTTTTGTAGGCCTATGCATTTTAGTGTGCTAGGATAGGCAGTGTTTAGTTAGCTCATTAGCTTCAGGTTAATTTTTAATACGAAATAAGAGCCGAACTGGCGGCGGTGTTGCACGAGAAGTTTACCAAGATGTTGCACGAGGCGTTACCAAGGTGTTGCACGAGAAGTTTACCAAGTGTTGCACGAGTTTACCAAGATGTTGCACGAGGCGTTACCATAATGTTGCACGAGGCGTTACCAAGATGTTGCACGAGGCGTTACCAAGATGTTGCACGAGGCGTTACCAAGATGTTGCACGAGGCGTTACCAAGATGTTGCACGAGGCGTTACCAAGTGTTGTACCCGTCAATAGAACCAGCAATACACAGCGGGAGGTACAACACACGTGGCCTAACCAACTCACAAATACTAATTACCTTCGCCGGTGACTTTAATTCCCGCATTCCTGCAAGAATAACATTAACCCGTGTCCATAATAATAACCTAGACATGAGTGGTATATAATGCCAGGCTTGAGGGCAGGGCAGGAGCTGGCTCGCCCGGCACCCTCACCCCGGCCATGTGAGCCGGTCTAACAATTTAATTAAAAGATTATATTACTGTTACACTACACAACACGCCGCCATAACACCCACACCAGCAGCATCACACACTCTTCCTCGCCACACACCTGCAATACCTGACTCACTTGGGGTGTTATATGGGACGAATTGGTAGGGTTGATATGTGAGGTGGCGGCGGGAGTCGAACAGGGAGGACGCACGAGGAGCAGACGACTGCTAGACGCTGCTCCTCAGCCACCCTCGCCGCCTCCCACTCACCGAGCATAACGCCCCGCGCTGACGCAACACTCTACCCTCTTGTCACTTATTACATCCTTATTTACCCCCTCTAACACTCTTTGTAATTCTATTTCCCTATGCTGCTTATTTATCGAGCTTCTCAGCTGACCACGTAAGCTATATTGTTTTATCAACAACAAGAAGCTTTATTATATAAGTTTTTGATATTTTGTGATTATGCCTCTTCAGGGGCCGTTATTCTAGAATATGCTCTGCCTCTCCACGTCTATCTTTATATAATATTAAAATGTATTTCAAAAATACTGTAATAGACATTATTAATTCCGTATTAATATTGCATACACCTATTATGCAAAAATAAACCCATACACTACTACCAACATCAAAATTGTATAAACATTATAACTCGCATAATTCCGTCGCCATTTAATAACGTAGTTAATTAACAGGGCAAGAAATAGATGGTAGTTATAGGATGATTATATATCAGACAAGAGTAGAGGAGTTATATATATATGAGAGAGGCCGGCGTGGGAGGCCATGTGGTCCTGGCCTTCCAGAAGACCGCAGACGACGCTACCGCCAGCAGACATCTCCCGCTGCTTCTCCATATATAAATCTTATTTACAATGGCAAGTACTGTCCCCAGTCAGCTGTAATTGGTGTATATACGTGGCTCTGGAGGCGAGGGAGCTGGGGCATGCGAGCCACGCTGTAATTGGATTAATTGATGGGTTAAATTAGGTTTTTTGAGACTTGTAGGCCGGCTGGGGTTGCAATAGGACTCTTGGGATGGGCAGGCTTATATAAGATTTCTTTGTGATGCAATAAAGAAATATTGCAATATTCTGTGCACTAAGATTGCAGGCCACTGTAGGGAACCTATTGTGGGTATGTGAGAGACCTTTAAACAGGTAAATTCAGGCGTGGTTTAATCTTTCATTGCGTAAGTATATGGTCAACCTTATTAATATTCAACGGTATTTACCTTGAGATCGTGTGAATCTAAATTTAGTAAATTTATATAAATTGTTTAATAGATTTAACTTCATTTTAGATATTTGTGTAATGTCACTTGTAAATTCTCCTTTTCTACAGAATAACTTTTTTTTTTTTTTTACCTCCCTGAGGGATATCTCAAATTCCTGGGATTAACTTAGTGATTGTTGTTAATAAATATTCAAGTAAATTTATTATATATTAGGTTGACCCAAATTTGGCTGCATTATGCCTATATAACACAGGTTATAGCTATAATAACAATTTTATTTAGTTAAAGTACATACAATACCTAAAGCCACTAATACACAGCGTTTCGGGCAACACTATGCCCGAGCCGAGTATAAAGCTTTATACTCTAGCTGTATTAAAACTTATTATGCAGCTTTTGAACATTTGTGCGTGGAAGTTTGCTTAAGAGCAACTACTTATTACTGATTTTTTGCATTTAGGTTTGTTAGTTTCATCATTGTCCAGTTTTGATTTGGTAATTATTACAGGTTGAGGACATTATTTGTAGTATTGAACTTCATCCATCTTTTTAAATTAAAGTTTTAAAGTGTCTTTGAACCAAATTTGTATTAAAAAATATATATCCTGCCATATTTGCAAATTTTGCTGTTTATTCTTGTCAAAATGTTTAAAGTACTCAATATAGGAAGCCAAGGTTCGAAAACGAAGCCCTAGGGCAGTTGACTTGCAAGTTTAGGGTTTTACTTTATTGATACAAAAGCCTTCACCATTACCTTTTTGCCGAGTCCTCTTGAGGGGCTCCGTATCGAAACTGCAAAAGTCGGTACAGTATATGCAGCAGTGTTGCAGTCTCGTATCGAAACTGCTTGAAAGATATTAAAATTTTTATTGGCCCTAGGTAAAATAATGTTGCAAAGCCTTTACAGTATTATTTTTTTAATAACTAATTTCTTTTTCACTGACTTGTTTCCTTCAAATGAGCAGCAAAAAATGGGGAAAAGTAACCATGAATGTATTGTTATATTTTCAAAGCCACATGCATGATTGTCTTATTTTCATAAAATATTTTGCTTCATTGATATGCACTGTCTTATCCCTATTTGACAAACCCATGTTTTTACCTTTTTTTTTTTTCTTTTTATTTATTTATATATACAAAAGTTCTTACATTGTTGTACAGCAACTAGCACACACAGCATTTTGGGCATGTCCTTGTTCCTAATTTTCACACGTGCCCCACACAGACTTCTACCTACACTTACCTGGTGCCAGAGTGGACAGCACTCCAGACTCTTAATCCTGGCGGACCAGGGTTTGATCCCCGGGGATGGCGGAGAAAAATGGACAGAGTTTCTTTCACTCTGATGCCCTCGTTACCTAGCAGTAAATAGGTACCTGGAAGTTACAGCTGTTACGGGCTGCTTCCTGGGGGGTGAAAAAATTATCGTTGATTGACAGTTGAGAGGCAGGCCGAAAGAGTGGGGCTCAACCCCCGCAAGCACAACTAGGTGAATACACACACACACACACACACACCATCAGAAAGCAGCCCATAGCAGTTGTCAACTCCCAGGTACCTATTTACTGCTAGGTGAACAGGAGCATTAGGGTGAAAGAAACTTCCCATTTTTTTTCCACCTCTGCCGGGGATCAAACCTGGACTCTTAAGACTCCGAACCCCGAGCGCTGTCCACTCAGACGTCAGGCCCCCGAGTGGGTCGAGTACTGTACCTAGTAGTACCTACCTACCGTGGGCCTAGTACTGCATATTTTTTATATTAATGTGTTAAACATTGCTCCGAGGTTTATTTAGAAGCCTTGGTGGCAGGATGTTTTATATTTCCAAAAAAATAAGACTGGTATGGCAAGTTTTCAGCGGCATGTCACAAAAACCAGGCTGTGGTGATGACACTAATTCCCATGGTTCAGCTGTTACCCAGCCAGTAAACTGTGCTATGCTTCCCAGTGTGGGAGGCAGATGACGGTGGGTTGGATTGAAAGTAGTGCAGTAATATGGCAGATGGGACAGACTATAAATGTTTATTTTTTAAGGGGTCGGTGTTTACCAGTTCCTCTTAATTTTATTGCAAGCTTTGCAAGGAATTGTACACTGAACCCACATTTTAGTTATAAATATTATTTCATTTTAAAGATTCCTAAATCCCACAGATATTAAAAAGTTTTGTATTTTAGGAATTGAAAAGAAAGTTTTATGGTAAAAAATTATTTAATTTTTAAGCTACTATTAAGTGGTTTTAGCTGTTTATATGGGTTTTTAATAAAAATTCATTTGGCCCATTTGGCTGTGCTAAAAAACAATTGTTAAGAGTAAAAGTTGACAAAGGCAGGTTAGAACTGTGTAGTTGCTTGGAATAAGTACATAACGACAAAGGTAATTGTAGAAAGCATAATTGTACCTTGCCTTGCCCTATTACACTCTTGCATTGTACGAGAGGAAGTTACACAACTTAGATATGTTGTGTTGGTACCTTTATAAGATTAGATTGTGGCACGAGATGGGTTAAGTGAGAACTGCTAGACAAGTACAAATGTTAAGTGGTCTTGAAGGAGGCTTAAGAGCAAATGGAGCTTATTGCTGTGGCATGTGTAAAGGTTGTACAGTATTTAGTTGACTGCTTTGCGAGGTGTGGCGGTGGGAACAAGAACAGTTAATAAGAGTGAACTAGTGAAGGACAAGAAAACTGATGTGAGTAGAAGATACTGTATGTAAAAATTTAACTGGAGTAAGAGGCTGATGGAATGAATGAATGAATAGATTTAATAAAGAGGATTATTAAAGACAAAAGTGTTAAATGGAGTATAGTAGGAAGGATGTTGGCCGGGTGAAAGAAGATGGTTATGCTAACATGATTTGAGATAAGACGGCTGATATCTGGTTTAATGTTAGTGTTGGTATACCTTGGAGTTGTGGTGTAACACTTGGCTATTCATATACTGGTTCAAGATTCCACTCCACAGTTTCGCCTCGTTTCTTGCACACAGTACATTAAAGGAACAGATTTTCTATACTTTTCTTTCATAAATACTGTATTGCAACATTGCTAAATAGTCTTCCTGGCTTGGTGCCTTCTTTTAATAATTATTTTCTGTATGTACTATATACACAAGTGTAGTAGTTATTCCTCCTGTCTTGGGAGAATGTTATGGCTATGTACTATCAAAACATATCTAGGTTTGTATGTCTATCATCTACTAAACAAAAATGTTGTGCTGGTTAAACAAGTGTACCGTTTCATTTTCAGGCTGGTCTTTTGAGACGATTTGTTCCCCTTTTTGACCGTGTTTTGGTCCAGAAAGCAGAGGCTGTGACAAAAACTAGTAGTGGCATCCTCATCCCAGAGAAGTCACTTGCTAAGGTTCTGACAGGCAAAGTGGTAGCAGTGGGGGAAGGAGCAAAGACTGAGGTGAGATTTTAAAAAGAATTATCACCTTATGATGTTTAGCTTAAACATGCATATAAATCTCATCAAATGTGCATTCTAATACAATCGATTTGTGCAATCTGTATAAAGTTTTAAATGAATTTAAAAGAATTTTAAAGAATTTAAATGATTTAATTTTACTAGACACTAATAATTTTAACGTAACTCTGTATTTCAGTCTGGTACAGTCATCCCTCCAGCAGTGGCAGTAGGAGACGAGGTTTTTCTACCAGAATTTGGCGGTACTAAGATTACACTTGAAGAAAAGGAATACCATCTGTACAGAGATTCTGAACTTTTGGCGAAAGTTAAAAGTGAATGATTTAAAAGGTGAGGCTGATGCTGTGAATGTTAGGCGACATGGATGTTAATGCAGAAAACCATACCAGTTTACTAGTTAAATCGGTGATTAAGAATTCCAGCAAGTCTGAAGATTTGCCGTTAATTTTTAGTTGAATTTAAGAAAGTATTGTAATTAAATGCTAACCATCGGCACAATATACATAATGAATGTTTCTCGGACCAGTATGGTATCATGGACCATTTTTCTACATCACTTGCATCATATTTCATGTATCATTAGTTTAACATTGTGTGGAGTCCCTAAAGTACTGTACAGTATATAGAAATGTAAAAATAAAAAAAAAATAAACCATTTTGAAATGTTTGTTTTTTCATTACTCTGCCGTTCATGTTTGTCTTGATACTAAACAACAGAAGTAATTTGTTGTATTACTAATTAAAATGAATGTTATTGGTGACTTATTGTAGTATGTGATATGCTGTTGTAGACTGTAGATGACTAACTTAAGTACTAGCCTAATTGTGTTTGGGAAGGGGTTATTAAGCTTTGGTTCTTGATCCTGCCTCGAGTCAAATAGATTGATGTACAGATTCTTGAACCTTTCGAGCGCTTTATTATATCTATATTTGGAACTGCATGGAGTCTGCCTCCACATTACTTCAAACTTTTGAAGTTCAAACAAACTGTTCTCCTTATTAACTACTAACATTGACAGAAATTCTAGGTCACTTTAGAATGATGCATCCTTTGACAATTGTGCTATATGTATCAAATATGGTAAAATAATAATTAAGGGATAGTGCTGGGTCAATCCTCTCGTCTAATAAAAAAAGTGAACAACTAAACGGCACTTGCTGTCACTTTTCCTGCAGAGTTTAGGTTCCATGCAAAGCCTTGTTACTAATTTCATAACTGGGGAGTTTGGTACACTTTGGAATGGCCACATGGACTGCTGGGTAAAAGAGCCACAAGGGAATACTCATGGGGGAAAGTTAAAACCAGTTGACATGTAATTATCTACCTAATTATAAGGGGTAAAAAAAATACTACAGTATTTTTATTATCTGTAATTTTAAGAGCATACACTGCAAAAGTAAAGCGGTCTTAATTGGAGAAAATCTTGGGCATTGGCATGGTTATATCTGTCACATGGAAAAACTAGCATGTATTGTAATGATAAAATATTTTAACATTTCAACACACAGGATTAAGAAGTTTATCGTGTGAGAGAATTGAAAAGTTTTACTTTGCATTTAACACACTATAATTAACTATCAATGGACCAGAAGGTAGATGAATTCTAACATTTTAAGGTTTAATTATGTGTTGAATATTTTTGTGTATACAGCCTGTAATTGGCAGTTATACATTTTATTATCCCTTAAGGATTGTCATATAAGGGGTAACCTGATTGTCTATTCAGTCTTGGAAACTGAATGATGATGAAAGTATCAAGAGCAATGAAATTAGTGCCAGAACATTAACCTTTGAGTAATAACTCTCTTATATCTACCTTCTAAGTAAGCAAGTAAAGTTTATGCTGAGACATCAAGGAAAATGAAGTTCGTCACACAGGAGAGATGTTAGGGCAGTGACTGATACTGTAAGAGTGGAGTAATGCCTTTCTGCAATATCAATACATGTTCTTTTACGTAAATGTTACATGTTTAACGTTAATAGAAAATCTAGCATAATTAAAAAGTTTTTGGGACAAACCAGTTAAGCTTATAGGAGTGTTCTAGGCCCTAAACCAACAGCTGGCTTTCCCTAGGATACAATACCACAACTTTCCAACAATTAAACATGCTGAACTTTACTGGCATTGAGCTTTAAGGTCATGCCAATAATCCAGTCCTATAGTTAATGTGGATTTAGGGATGAGAAATGACTGGAGCAACAACTGACTTGATCAAAGATTGTACTGCAGCTGAATATTTTTCTCAAGTACTGAATTCTGTGTTCTAGCTTGGAGAAATTGTTTTAATTGGATACAATTTATTTAATTAAGGAAGTATGGACTTTTTGAACATCACCCTTTATAAATAGGCCTACATTTGTATTGCTGTGATAGTAATTGCTGTAGATAGTAAGTACATGTAGAATGCTGATAGATAGAATGCTGTAGATAGTAAGTACAATGCTGTGTATTGTGGGCAATTTGATAATTGCTTTAATATCCCCACTCTTGCAGTTGTGAGCAAAGCATATCCCACCCTGTGGTGTGGGATATACTATACATTGTTTATTAACATGGACTTTTTAGTCAATATCTAACTATCCAATGGTAGGCTATAATACAATAAATCTAATTTAGAAAAGTAAAAAAAATCCGCGTGTAACCGTTTGTGTTCAGAGTATGTGTGTTGGGTGGGCCCTGAGGGAACCAGTAAGTGTGAGGTTGGCATGTGTTAGTGTGTGTGGGGGCGTGCGCGCCTCCAGTGCCTTGCGGGAACCTTGCACCTTCTTCTCCAGGCTCACAGAAAGGCTCTTGCGACCCAAGTCGACGTCCACTGTCCGTAAATGGCGCTGTAGGGCATGCAGTGTGTCCCTGACAACAGAAGAAAAATAATCACAAGCTACACAATTTTAAGTCCCGAGTTAAGTATCATCAGGATCATAAGTCCTGTATGATCGTTATTGCTTTGTTGGATTGTTCCTATAGGCTATGAAATTTACGCTGTCAGAGATATGCAAACAAGATATATTTTGGTTACATCCAATCAAAGTAGGCACATCATTGGACCAGTATACAGGCGTATTAACTATACAAACAATAAGAATTATGACCAGTACTGCATTGCAGATAAGTCCCGTCCTGTTCCCAGTAGCTGAATCTACAACAATAAACAACAACGGTCTGTGACATAATTTTGTAAACCCTCTTGAGACTGGTTACAGCACTCGGGCTTGTGACTGACTTACAGTGCCTTAGCCAGCGCCTCACGCAGAAGTGTGCGTGTTCTCGTCAGGTGCTGTACTTCTGCGGTAATACCGTCCTGGGGGGCGTCTCTCACCAGATCATGGCGAACTCGTTCAGTCCGACCCTCCAGGCGCGTCTGCGCCACCTTCAGCGGCAGGGAAGATGCACGAAGCTGCTCCTCCAAGTCTGAAATCTGAGAAGAATCTAAGCTCCATTTTCAGATCTGGCAGGTGAACGTGTATATTTTCCACCAGCTCCGAAAACTGAAAAATAAAGATGATCACAGCGTTTTTTTTTTTTTGAATGTTAAAAATTAGGAATGTGTTATCTCGACTCTCAACTGCCACAAGGTCAGAGTTCACTCTAGATAGCGTGTGGTTGTCAAGTGAGCCATTATCAGGACGGGTGAGGCTGATCTTAACACGCAAGCACGCAGGTGAAATATGCGAGTACACGCACAGATGGAGTACCCGGCTTTACCTGGGTCTCTTTCTCACCATCTCCCTCTCCACCTTTCTCTCCCCACTCCCCCTCTTCCTTCTCTGCCCTATCTCTCACTCCCTCTCTTCCATTCTTACCCCCTAAGCTCTCCACATCTCTCCCCCCTATTCCTTATCTCACGTGTCTCCTTTCGTCTTTCCTCCCCTCCCTATCTCTCACTGAAAATTTAATATTATGAAGCACAAACTGCTAGATAACTACGAAAAATATATTTCAGATTTCATAAAATAATGTATACGGAGGGGAGGGGGACTGTATATGCCAATATGTCTAAGTATTGGCTGGGGGCAACTCCAACTGGCTTATGACACTCCAATACCCTGCCCTCCCCCATGTGTCATCCTTGAAAGTTGGGCGAGGCTAGCTCCAAGTATCTGGCCTCCAACCATGGACAGAAAGAAAAACTATTTATATTAATGCTAATACTATTTAAATCACTGGTGCTGTGCCGTCTTGAATATTGCTCGGTGCTCGCTTTCTCTTTCAAAGCAGGAGAGATCTCTGAATTAGAGGGAATATAGAGAGCATACACATAGAAACGATAAAACATCTAAATTATTGGGACCTTCTCAAAGATCTTAAAATGTACTCTCTGGAAAGGAGACGAGAGTATATATTATATCAAATAATATATACAGTACATGGAAGATATTGGAGGGCCAGGTCCCAAATTTGTACAGTACAATAACAACATACTGGAGCGAAAGGTACGGAAGAAAATGCAGAATAGAACCAGTGAGGAGTAGAGGTGCCATAGGCACAATCAAAGATCACTGTCTGAATGATCATCAGGGGTCCACTGCTGTTCAACACCCTCCCAGCAAGCATTAGAAATATTGCCGGAACGAAGGTGGATGTATTCAAGAGGCACTAGGACAGGTTCTTGCAAGAAGTGCCGAACAAACCAGGCTGTAGTGGATATATGGGCCTGCAGGCCGCTCCAAGTAACAGCCTGTTGGACCAAGTTGGATCACAAGCTGGGCCTGGCTTCAGGCCGGGCTTGGGGAGCAGAAGAATTCCCGAAACCCTCACCAAATATGCTCCAGGTATATTATACAGATACAGATATAACCACAATGAAGCGGGAGAATAGTTAAGTACATTCTCTCCGCAAGAAGCTTTTTCACATAGTTATTGACTTACTTCTTTCTCTTGCGCTTGTATCTCTTCCAGAAGGCGGTCCTTCTGCCACTGTAGTTCATCTCTGGCGCGGGTCTCCTGGTGCAGACGGGTGCGCAGGGCGTAGTCTGTTGCTGTCTGCTGGGCCTCGTCCTCCCGGTCTGCTGTCTGTAGATACCACTCTTTTATGTATTATTTATTTACAAGTACAATGAGTTATTTTAAACTTTTTGCTAAGTGGTACATTCTTGTATAAACCGCCAACGTGCATAGCGCTTCGGACAAGTAATTAAGGTAATAAAGTAGTTGAGGCACATGCAGTAGTGTAATTAGGCTATGTATGACATATATGTTAAAGACTATATATAATAACTCGAGTCAGTTCCTGTACCCATTACGTTATGCCAACCTTTCCACCACCGACCACATAATGGCTACGGGGATCAAAATAAACCAATTAAACTATAAAATATTCATTAAATAATTTACTGTTAGAAAACTTACATATGTACACAAGTTGTATTAGATCGGTTTATGATAAACCATTTAGGAGAAAACAGCACTACAACCACACAAGACTGAAACGTCGCAGTGTTTATGTATATTTTACCTTACTACTGACCTGCATAGTGACGCACATTCTATCTCGCAGCATCTGAGAGTCTCTGATAGCGGCCTCTGTCGCCGCCATGTTCTTGAGAGAGTGGTCCAACCAGTCAGCCGGCAGGATGGTTCCTTCGAGGATATAATTACGCATAATTTAATAATTCATTGTGGCGGGGAACAGGCAGCAGTGTATATATATATGCATGTTAGCCTTATATCGACGTATCCCCCCCCCCTCCTCCCGCCAGGGTCGAATTCCAGACCCTCCCCAGGATGCAAACCCCACAGCAAGTTGAACTGCTGGGTACCTATTTACTACGTGGTTAACATGGGCATTAGCTGTCATGTTAGTTCAGTTCTATACGGACTCCCTGGAAGAGAGGATCTTCAGGACTATGAGCAAATCTATTGCAGGTAAATAGATGACATTTTCATCTGTGTCCGGAACCTTCAAGAGCTTGAAAAGATTAAACGATCGCTTACAGAGTTCTCAGTACTCCAATTCACACAATACTGGTATCGACGGGTTAGGAACATACATGCCCCGTGCCACCTCTTGGGTGGCTTAATCTTCGTCAATCAATCAAATCGTGATAAACATCATATCTCGACTGAAGATGTTCCAGACAGGAACGAAATGTTGAGCACATAATACATCATACAGTCATTCTTGTTGTGTTTTATTCACCTAAAACCCAGATTGACCATGAACTTCGGTAAGCTAATCTCCCAACTTGACAATGATGCAAGAAGATTGTCAGACGCATCGAATGCCTGAACAGCAAAATCAACAACACTAGCAATGCGGCCACTATGACCTCACAGAGGATTCGTACCCAAGGTGCCAGGGTCCCCATCAACAGCACCGGTACTCTCACCACTACACCAGGGATTGTCTCAGTGGTCAGAGTACTAGTGATGTTGATGGGGAGACCCCCGGTGGCCTGGAATCGCAACCTCTAAGGGATCATAGAGATTAAGTAATATATGTATTTGGAGATCATTCAAGCTTTGCTCATATATATATCTCCATAGTTACTTGACAGACCTTGAGGAACACGGAGGGGGTCCGGCTTGAAGGATATCTGCGGGGAGTGCTCGGTGAGTGACTCCTGCTTCCTGTCCACTTCCAGGGCTGCCCTCTGTAGGAGGAAATGCTAGGTTAGTGCTACCACCTTTATCCTGGGAGTATACATATCACTGACGGCCAAAGGGTTGCACACAGTTCTCAAAAATTAAGTAGTCTAACTCATGAATAGTAGCACTGGCATTCATAACATACAAATTGGTGAATGGGTCTCGAATATGATAATGAGACGCTGGTATAACTAAGAGCGTGGGAAGACTTGGCCCAAGGTTGTATATTCTTAATGATCATTATAGTCTTAGCATTTTTATAATAATAAATGTTTTGTGCTTTACAAGGCGACCAGTTGTAATAGCTAAATTACTTCAACTTCTCTCCAATGGTGGGTGTGGAGCAAGGCTAATAACTGTGTGACTCACTACAGATGTAAAGTGCCTTGTATAGTGACTGCTGTGATCCTCTTGTTGAATTGCTTGTGATATAAATAATAATTGATATGTATTTGTGTAAATAATTGTTTGCTTCTGGCAGTAGCAGTATGGGTTCGAGTCACTTCTGGGGTGTGAGTTTTTAGTTTTATATATATATATATATATATATATATATATATATATATATATATATATATATATATATATATATATATGTATATATATATATGTATATATATATGTATATATATATATATATATATATATATATATATATATATATATATATATATATATATATATATATATATATATATATATATATCGGGATGGGTATTGGTGTATAATAAAAAAAGAATTAAAAAAATCTCCAATGTAGCGTTTCGTTTATGGTAGTCAAAAGCGTGGTATTTATATCAACACCCGCTTCATGTACAGTATCTAACCTTATATATATCCTGGTACAGCCACTTATTCTGGTCTGTACAAAGATGGCCTCGGTTCCTGCAGGTCAGCGTTCGATCCCCGATGGTCAACATATCACACCCATCCACCCAACAATTGCACACCAAAACAACTACCAACCACAAGCTCACTTTGTCTTTAAGGTCATCTTGAAGTCGTTGTTTGGCGTGGTGGAGGACCCTGAGGTGTGAGACAGCTTCGAGGACGGCCTTCTCCAGGTGTGCACGGGAGCCCTCCACCACCCTCACCTCCTGGTGCAGCTCCGTCTGTTGGTACTCACACACTTAGTGCCTTTACTAACACTATTATTTTTCATTATTATTATGTATGTGTTAAAGTTGTTTCTTACATCTCTCCCTGAAGACATATTTACACACAATGCTACATTTTAATATATATTTAACAGGTTGTAAGGTGGCATGTGTGTACCTCTGGCCGGTCATGCACCAGATCCCCCTCCCTGCGTCTCTCCCTCAGCGTCAGGCACTCTAGGGCGGTGTTGAGGGGCGCCACCCTTGCCTCCGTCGCTGCCTCCGTCGTCTGCTTCGCTGCCTCCAGCTTCCTGATCTCCTCGTTAACCTGCTCCAGATGAGGGAGGAATAAAGGCTATTTAGCACTCTTTGCCTGTCAAACTGAGTTTAAAGCTCAGTCGATTAAGGCAGTGTCTGGGATGCTCCCGGACGCAGGTTCGAATCCTCGTCACGGCCCTTGTGGATTTGTTCATGAGTCTAAAGGATTGTATATGAAACAATATATCACTAGTAAACGTACATTTGTTCCCTTAAATGCCAACTTGCAGTGAGCGGCAAGATTATAACTTGCTTAGCTAAATGAACTATGGAGTCAGTCCCTGAGCCCATTATGTGCCTCTGTAACCCTTTCCATTACCGCCCACAGGATGAGTATAGGGTGCATAATAAAAGAACTAAACTAACTAACGGTGAGCGAGACAGTGTACTGTGAGGGGGAACTGACCTGGTCGAGGGAACGCTGTAGGTCGTTGGTAACTCTTTGGAGCTCGTAGATGCGGTCCTGAAGGCGGGTGGTGTTGTCCGCCTGGTCCCACCATGTCTTGTTCCGTAGCTGTCCATACACCCAACTCTTTAAACTTCACTTGATTTAAGTTTTAACAGATATTTTAATTAGTTTGCTAATATGAAAAGGTGGGTAGTATGAGCTCGATGCAATAATAAAGACGTTATGAGGAGAGAAGCAAAACATGCATTACTTTTGTAAACATAACTTGTACGAGCTTTGGGAATGATCCCAAGACTGGAAAATAATATTCAGCATATATGGAACACAGCATGACCCTTTATGTAAGGGAGAGTACAGCGTCCGCCAGTCACTGACAGCAGCTCACCAAGTTCGACCTGTAATTATAATAAGACAAACTCCAGGAATAGTCAAAAGTACAATTAAATACAAGGCCAAAACAAAAGTTGCTTTGTGAATCCCTAAATATTGCTCTAATGACTACTGTACAGTACTCAAGCATGTAAATCACATCTACAAAGATGCATTATAAATAAAGTTAGGCACATGACCATCAGTTTCATTGCAAAACTAGTCAACTCGCGTACCAAGAAAGGCGTGTTAGGGAGGCAATATATTTGACTACACTTCAAACAAGGCATTCTCAGATGTGAAACAATTATATATTCAGCGAATTTTACCGCAATGCAGAACAGACAACATAAAGTTTTTATACAGAAAAAATAATCTGCTAGAAATGTGTTTCATATCGATATACACCCCCAAGAAAAATTAACCAGGAAATTGGAGGATCCTTAGTTTACAAGGCACGCCAGGAGTAGCTTTATAATAATAAATATGATATTATTATTTTATCCAAAATAAATGCATAAGACGAGCTAAATTATTATTATTATTATTAAGCTTGGAACACAACAGTGTGTTGATGTTATGTATATTTATATAAGGACATACAGAGTACGGGTTAGGAACTAGGTGTCGGCTGCCTCAACTAATTCCTGGGTTCCAAGATGCCTTACTTAGACAACTTACCTGGTGACGAAGATGGTGCGACTCATGACGAAGATTGTGGGAGGTGGTGCGGGTGTCATGACTGGCCTGTCTGAGGGTGGCGTTGTTGCGGCGCCAGTCATCGGGTTCATGGCGCATCACTCCCTTCTCCACCTTCATCATCGCTGACTTTTCCCACTTCTCTCTCACGGAAGATAAAGTAGTACATATCAGATAAATCAATTACCTAATTGGTATCAATTATCTAATTGGTATCAATTATCTAATTGGTATAAATTATCTAATTGGCATCAATTTTCTAATTGGTATCAATTAGTTGGCCTTTGCTATAGTGCACAAAATAGTCTGATATTACTAGTTAATTTCTGAAATAGGGATATTAGGTAAACTTATTGCTAGCTCTTGACTGTATACTCTGAAATCCCATATTAAAAAAATAGACGAAATAATTTATACAATTAAATAAATTTATCTGAGGGTCACTAATTAACACTATAGTGGTCTCGAATGAGGGCAGGAAGCCGACGGCTTGTCAAAGGCCCCCCCCCCCATTTGACCTGATTTTTTTTTCAAGCTGGATTTTAAAGTTCAGAATTTTGGCGGGTAGGCGGTTCCATAGTTCCATAACCCCATGAGTGAGAAAGCATCTCGTGTTTTCAGTCCCACATTGTGGCTTGTTGAGCTTGAAACCGTTGCTCCTTGTTTGTTACACCTGACCATTAGAAGAAGTGGTGTGGATCAATATCCTCCTAATTGTTCAGTATTTTTAAAGTTTTGATGAGATCAGCCCTGTCATGTCTGGTTTGCAGTGTTGTTAGCCCTGTGGCCCTCGACCGTTCCTGGTATGAGAGTCGACTTAGTTCTGAGATTGAAATTGAAATTGAAATAAATTTATTGAGGTAAAATACACACAAAGGGATGAGGTAGCTCAAGCTATTCTCGCCCTGTTCAGTATATCGTGTTAATACATACATAGACACACATCACAAACAATAAACATATTACCAAACATTCTGAGGGATAAACATATACATTTCCTTAGTTCTGAAATGATTTGTGTGACTTCACACACACACACGCACACACACTCATCCTGTCACTACACTTAGGAAGTTAATGGTCGCGTACGTTAGACATATGAAGGTCCATAACGTCGGACTGGTGACCCTCCCCTGGATGCAACCCCACAACAGTTGACTAACTCCCGGGTGCCTATGTACTAGGGAAACAGATGCATTAGGTGATAATGAACGTGCCCAACCATTTCTGTCCCGCCCGGGATTCGAGCTTGGGAGTCCCGATTGTGAGTCGAGAACGAATCCAACTGTACTACTGAGACCCAATAATTATATGAATGTCTTATAAACTTCTATTATGCAACACTATGAACTCTCAAACCCAGTATACCTTTTTGTATATAAATAAATGTATAAATAAATATATAAATAAATAACCTACTGTTAAGGGTCTCATATTATTATTGTAACTGCAATGCTAGTCATTTTTGTGTGCACAAACAGTTAAGTAATATTACCGTTGCTAAGAAATATGTGAACTCAATCGTCGACCAGCTTGCTCAAGGCTTGTATAGCGTCCCTAGCAACCGCCCTAGCAACCCTTGAGTTTACATTTCGTATTATGTGATTTTGGCAACTGTTGCCATATTTAATTAATGCAGTTAACTGAGATACAGACAAATATATATTTCTAAATTAAATGTAAATTTCTTTAGTTTAAAAGAATATAAATCTATATAAAGTTTAAAAGAATATTTATATACGAACCCTTTCGTATATATACATATGCGCTGGCTTGTGTTCGCTGCTGTTCTCGTCTTCCAAGACACTATTATGACCAAAAAGGCAATGTTAAATGGGATTCTTGTATTGTTATTTGTCTATTTGTACTCACTGAATTTGTGCGCCCCTTGAGGGACTTGAAGTAGAGGGGGGTAGAAATAGCCTAAGCTACTCTATCCTTTTGAGATGTATTTCTTTCTTGTCTCAATAAACATCCTTGAAATTGTACAGTTGTTTCTCCTTGTGAAGATTATTAAAAAAACAAGGTGTTTGAGAGGGCGCGGAAGTTCAGCCTGGCCAGGGCCGCCAGCAGCCCTTGGGCCCGCCCCGGCAGCACCCAGTCTTACACACTTAAGTCCCACAAAAGTCCACCTTTGTGGGACTTTGGTATAAGCCTAATATGTATCTATATATACACTGGCTGCCTGTCCTCCTACACAATGATTTATTATCAACTATTATTTTATAATAATTTAATATTTATTCATTTAAATATTAAATAAAATAATTTAATTATAGTAAATACTTACTAATTTAATAATAATAAGTTTTTCTTGTCTCAATTAACATACTTGAATGGCTTAGCTCTTTCACCTGATAGTTCCCCCCATACTGAATAATATTACGAGAGCAGTATTCACGGGCTATTCATGCCTGTGCCACCTCTTGGGTGGCTTAATCTTCATCAATCGAGAGCAATAAATACATCCTAACCAGACGTTATACGATGATATCCTTAACAGTTGATAAATAGAAGTAATTGCAGAACTCCAGTTATCTAATCCTTATCACAAACTATATAAAAGCTTATCATAAGCTACGGGATTTGTAGATCAGTATTTAAAGGGAATTCGGAAGTAATAATGATACATCTAATGCCATCTGTCGGCACAAGAGAACACTATTAACTGGCTGGTCAATAGTAGCCATAAGGTACAGCTTACGCCATCTGTTGACATCAAATTACACTTATAACAAATTACCCCACAAAATACCACTAGCGCCATCTCTTTTTTTTCCAACGAACTATAAATAGCCAAACAGCAACCCATAAGGGGGGTTGTTGTGCTCGGGTAGGAGGTTCCTAGCTCCGCCCACAAGTGGTATGGGGGTGCATAATAAATGGCATATCATTGGTAGAAACTCTTTGTTGACATTCACACAACAGCCAATCACAGGAAGGGATCAGCTAAAGGCTTCATCCACTTAATAAATCATCTTTATTTAGCACACCATCCTTGCTTATGACATTCTGCTTCAACTTTAATCTACCTAAAAAGTAAAATGTTAATTATTTAAAAGCATTAATAAAGTGATAATTAAATACTGCAAGATGTAACGAGTGTTACAGAAACATGGGCTGGCTACCTAGCTTGTGACGTCATCAGTGAGAGTTGCCTCACAAATAATATCGGCGATACAATGCCTCCGTCCTCTTATTGATCTTCATTATTCAGTTAAATGGAAATTTCTGTCTTGTACAAAACGAAGATGTTGTGTTTGAAATAAAGGTATTGTTATGCAAAAAGACGTATTTATTCGTTTGCATTTAATTATAGAAAGAGTGTTGACATTCACACAACAGCCAATCACAGGAAGGGATCAGCTAAAGGTTCCTTCCACTTAATAAATCATCTTTATTCAGAACAACATCCTTGCTTATGACATTCTGCTTCAACTTTAATCTACCTAAAAAGTAAAGGGTTAAGATTTAAAAGCATTAATAAATTGATAATTAAATACTGCAAGATGTGACGAGTGTTAGAGAAACATGGGCTGGCTACCTAGCTTGTGACGTCATCAGTGAGGGTTGCCTCACACAAATAATATCGGAGATACAATGCTCTGTTCTCTTATTGGACTCGATTATTCAGTTAGATGGAAATTTCTGTCTTGTACAAAACGAAGATGTTGTGTTTGAAATAAAGATATTGTTGTGCAAAATGACGTATTTCTTAGTTTGCATTTAATTATAGAAAGAGTGTTGCCATTCCCAGCAACAGCCAATCACAGGAAGGTATTTGCTAAAAGTTCGTCTCCTTGTTGACGTCCTCGGGAGCGACACACAGATCTAGCTGATGGCTTGCTGTTTCATCTCTTGTATATAAAAAATATGAATATTTCGGTTACTATGATTATTAAAAGTATGAGATATAGCAGTTGTTACACAAAATGGCTAAAGTTTGCCATTAAAAAGAGCTCATAGTGGATTCTGTAATAGAGTTTTATGGAGAGCGTTGTTAGTTAGTTCATTTATTATGCACCCCATACCCATATTGTGGGCGGTAGTGGAAAGGGTTACAGAGTCACATAATGGGCTCAGGGACTGAACCCCACAATTCATTTAGCTAAGCAAGTTACAATCTTGATGAGCTAGTTACAAAATTCAGTATAAGTCGTCACATCATCAATGTGTTCGAGATCGATCACAAGTACAGTTTCTAAATAAAATAACTGGCATATGTGGAGAGCTAGTGTCACAATTGATATGTTTGTCCTGCACACCGCCCCCATCCAGTGGGCAGCGGTGGATAGGTTACAATAACTTAGTTACTACCTACAAATGGAAAGTGGTTCCTAATGGAAAGCGTGTTATACAATTTTTCTAAATATCTTCTGATATGGGTGCTGACTTCTCAATTTATGTACCTAATACTTGAAGGCTTTTCTCCAGTTCCTTGTAGATTTTATACCAGCAAGAACAATCAGTAAGAGCTCTGAGTATAATTGCGTTTATTACACTATTCTTATATCTGTCTGACCATTCATACACATCCCAGTATTGGTGGGTTTAGTATAATCTTCTGTGGTGAAAGTTGTTTTAGGTTCTCACGTAGACATGGAGGAAAGAGAGTGTACCATTGATGCTTAGTTCATGGGTAAAGTTAAGCACTGAGTTGCGGATTAGTAGATCCTTTTATCGCGACAATTCCAGGAAGGTTTTCACACATACGTATATATTATCGATGAATCTGCAGTAGATGCGAAGTTTTCCTGTGGTGTTGAAGGTTTTCTAATGTTCAAATTTAGAGTAACCATGGGGTTTTATTTATATTTTTAATACAACAAAAATTAATTATTATAATATTTCGATTATTTCTGAGTGGGCCCAAAAATTTATTCCCCAAAACAAATACACATTATTATCATTAAGATTGACTAAATCTAGTTCCTTGCAGGCGAGATCAGTTGTGAACGCCAGCTAGCGCACAAGTACAAGAGCGCCCAAAATTAACACATAAGACATGTGGAGACAGGCGTGTAGCTTCTGACTTTGTTTTTATTAATTAATATTACATGTTAAGCGTTTACTCTTAATATATATTATTATATATAAGTATAACTATCACACAGTAAATATAATAGGAATCTACCCAAAACCTGACCATCACTATAACCCTACCTTACCTGACCACTTGGGAACTATAGTGTACACAAGAATAAGGCGGGACACACCAATACTAACACCTCAACACGGAAGACGAACGGGGGGAGGAGTACTGAATAATTAAGAGCACTAGGTCACTAGGGCAAAGGGGACGGTAGGCCCAATATCACTAGGCAAGGAACCATTAATACACATTTAATAACACTTAATATCTGACTTTATTTGAAATAATTAAATAAGACACTCCCTAACTATATTCCCTACTAGAGGCCAAGAGTACTGAATGAGGTGCTTTAGTACAAGAGAGCCGTACTTACTCGTATGTTGTTCCACCGTTTCCGGGAGATGATGTTCCTTCCCTGGGTCCACACACACCTGCCTACTGGGCTGCGCCCACTCAACTGACTGTCCCCTGATCTGCTGCTCCTCAGCTGAACATGAGGGTTTTGCATTTGATGTTTAGGGGTTAATCCCTGAAGATTACCATGACGGCATCAACTCTGACCTCTTTGTGATTCGATGACCGTTGACCTGACTCTATGGCTAACTTGTACAGAGGTGTAACTTTTACATTGTCTGCCGCCGCCTGTCTGGCGCCTGTGGGTTGTTCATCCTCCACGTGGCCTGTTCATGCTGTTATGATGTTCATGTACTATGTACTGCTCTCTTGTTACAGGGGGGCCACATGAGCAACACAAATTAAGTTAGGTTCTTTTAATTTGTCCTTATACAATTTAATGAATAAAAAGGCTTTTCTAATGTGACGATGTCTATTGAATTTTGTAACTAGCTCATCAAGATTGTAACTTGCTTAGTTAAATAAATTGTGGGGTTCAGTCCCTGAGCCCATTATGTGCCTCTGTAACCCTTTCCACTACCACCCACAAGATGGGTATGGGGTGCATAATAAAGGAACTAAACCAACCTGCCTTAACATCTTTATATTATGATAATCACATCAACATATCAGCATTAAGATCAGTGTGAAATTCCTGTTTTGGCCAGAATGTCTACCACTCTGCATGAATGGACTTTGTAATGTTTCTTTTCGGCAGCTTTATTTCCTCAGTTTCTGAACTGGTTTCTTTAGCTTGTATGTTGTAATGAACTATTCCAACATTTGCAGTTGTTCTTCCTTGTGAAGATTTAACAAAAAACTGTGTTTGTAAGGGTGATAAAGTTCAGCCCCGGCAGCACCCAGTCTTACTCCATATAGTTCCACCTTTGTGGGAAGGTATAAGCCTAACTTGTATATATACACTGGCTGCCTGTCCCCTACACAATGATTTATTATTAACTATTATATACAGTATACCCGGCTAAAGCGAACACAGTACAGTTTCGTCATAGGAGATTCCTAGATTGGAATTCACTACCAAATTTCAATATATAAAAGAATTTTCCGTGTGAAATGCTGTTATTTTATGCATCATTTGTTGTTTTAATAATATTACGGCCATCTCAACAAAGAACAGTACAACCTAACCAGACGTTATACGATGATATTATCAACAGTAGATAAAAGAAAATTAATTGTTATCTAATACCAGAATAGTATAAAAGCTTATCATAAGCTACGGGATTTGTAGATCAGTGTTTAAAGGGAATTCGGAGGTAATAATGATACAGCTAATGCCATCTGTCGGCACAAGAGAACACTATTAACTAGCTGGTCAATAGTGGCCATAAGGTACAGCTTACGCCATCTGTTGACATCAAATTACACTTATAACAAATTACCCCACAAAATACCACTAACGCCATCTCGTTTTTTTCCAACGCACTATAAATAGCCAAACAGCAACCCATAAGGCGGGTTGTTGTGCTCGGGTAGGAGGTTCCAAGCTCCGCCCACAAGTGGTATGGGGGTGTATAATAAATGGCATATCATTGGTAGAAACTCTTTGTTGACATTCACACAACAGCCAATCACAGGAAGGGATCAGCTAAAGGCTTCATCCACTTAATAAATCATCTTTATTTAGCACACCATCCTTGCTTATGACATTCTGCTTCAACTTTAATCTACCTAAAAAGTAAAATGTTAATTATTTAAAAGCATTAATAAAGTGATAATTAAATACTGCAAGATGTAACGAGTGTTACAAAAACATGGGCTGGCTACCTAGCTTGTGACGTCATCAGGGGGGGTTGCCTTGACACAAATAATGATACACTGCTCTGCCCTCTTATTCGAGTAAATTATTCAGTTAGATGGAGATTTATGTCAGGTGCAAAACAGAAATTGTTGTTCTTTTTAACACCTACCTTGTTGTTGTGCACAAGGACCTATTTCTTAGTTTAAATTTTATTCATAAAAGAGTGTTGGTATTCCCCGCACCAGCCAATCACAGGAGGGTATCTCTGGAAGCTTGGCCTCCTTATGGACTCAGCACATCGGTCTAGCTCATGGCTCGCTGTTTCATCTCTTGTATATACAAATTATGATTTTTTTCCATTACTGTTATAATTAATAATATTAGATATAAAAGTTTTTACACAAAATGGCTAAATTCTGCCATAATGTTACGATTAATTATGATGCCCATTAATAATCAGTGTGCCAGAAATTTATTCCCCCTAAATAAATAAACATTATTATCATTATGATCGACTAAATCTAGTCCTTGAAGACTAGATCAGTTGTGAACGTCAGCTAGCGCACAAGTACATGAGCGCTAAAAATACTTTATTTATTTATTTATTTATTTATATATATACAAGAAGGTACAATGGGTTTATGAGAGTACATAGCATTGATGTTTATACATTCTTGTAAAACCACTAACACGCGTATCGTTTCGGGCAGAATAGAACACAACTTTAACTTTACTTATACTTTTTACGTCAACTTTACTTTTACAAAATAGACATGTGGAGAAAGGCGTGTGTTTTTATTAATTAATATTACATGTTAGGCGTTTACCCTTAATACAAATTATTATATATAAGTATAACTATCATACAGTAAATGTAATAGGAGTCGACTCAAAAACTGGCCACAGTCAAGTGATTGATTAATTGCTAAAGATTATGCCATCTAAAAGGTGGCACGGGCATGAATAGCCCGTAAATAGTCAAGTATTTTGTGCGTTCGACCATGTTTGTGGTCCTTCAGATGTAAGGTGTTAACACTGGCGGGCGTCGTTCTTATGAAGCCGGGATTATGTCCAACACATCATTCAACTTCATTTGATAAATATATGCCTGTTAAGTAGAAGATTTTAATTTGTCAATAGTATTATAATGTGGTTTTAATATTGAACATGATTTATATATGTGTACGAAACGTACTAGTTTTGTGTCCGAAATGGTAAAAATATGCCAGTATCTCCTTTAACTATGGTAAAGTTAATACGTATTATAATAATTATAGTAAATTAATTAGTTTGCATTTTACGAATGATTTAATATTATTAAATCACGAAACTTATGATTATTTGCGTGGATTAATGTTTTCAATTTTTGTTTTTGTTTACTTTTGCTCCACAAAATAATGTAATTTGAAACAAAACCTAATAATGATAAGTAAAACTAAATATTATAAGTTTACCTACAGTGTCGAGAAGTTAAAACAATGTATTCGCTCATATTTCCAATGTCGACGGGGCCTATTCTAAGATGGGAAACATTCCAAGTTGGGGAGAGTTGTTGTGGGAGGTGGGAGAGATCAGCTGATGATGCTGAGGGTCAAGACGTGACCTTTGGTCTCACAAGTGACCTGGGGGAGTAGGGAGGGTGCCGGCTGATTGTCTTATCTTACGCTCGCTCTCACTACAACCACACAACTCCAGCTACATTTTGCCTTTGTTGGAGAAGATCGTCTGAAATTGGTTTAGTAAAAAATATTCGTCTTCACCAGCGCCGGACCAAAGTTTATATTGTTAGTTCACATTATTTGGCCGTTAAGTACATTTTTGTGGTGCTGTTTTGATCAATAAGTTTGTAACTTTGCCTTGTCAGAGCAGGTTGTGTACAGTGAAGTATGTATTCAAAGACACAAGTTGTTCTGTGTGAGGGAGATTAATATTCTCGTCTTCCAAGTTCAAGTTCAAGTATGTTTATTGAGACTAAGAAAAAAATACATCTCAAAGGGATAGAGTAGCTTAGGCTATTTCTACCCCCCCCCCTGCTTCTTCCAAGTGACTACTGAATATTCAGTCATCAGCGGGACTCTGGCTCAGTGTGCGTGTGCTAAATACATACATTATTATGCAGCTTTATTCTAAATCTAAATAGCCTAAAGCCCCATAGTCTTGTGTCAAATGTACTCCCAGTCCTTAGCAAAGATAAGGGTTCTCGTAGATTTGCATGTATATTTATATTACAATAACATAATGTAAGTACGTACAGTAATACGTGTTCGTGTATATTTTTCATTAGTTATTGGTTTGATGTCCTGTTCTGTTTTGGAACTTGACCTTAATTCTTATTCAGTGTACTCTACATCATTACTTTTACTTCATATTGTGTAACATGGTGCTCGGTGACAGGTAAAGCGCCTGCTTTATACAGGACAACCCATCACTACCATGCCCCTCCCATGATAGTTGCTTCGTAATTTCTACTGTATCTAAACAACATCTAACACTGCAGTACCTGGACAATTGGCACGAAACCTCAAAGATCCCATGTTCCTTTAAATTTTACACAAGATGCAAAATACTTAAAATGACAAGTCATAGTGTACTGTAACTTATCTTTCAAGAGTTCTACCAACACATGTAAAAGAATTGGGAAGAACATTAAAACTTTAAGGGTAACTCCAAGACTGGATGAAACAAAATCTAAAATGACAAAGAAACTAGCTGATGACCTGTGTTTGCCTCTGAAACTCCTATTCAGAAAATTCATAGGAAAAGAAGGGTTGACCCTTGCTGTTAATCCTGATTTTTTTTTTTTTACACTTCGCCTGTATTTTCTGGACCATTTTACTCACGAGGTTGGTCTTGTTTTCCATGTTCCCCACTCACTCTTTGACTTCAGTAGATTCTGGTTCTTGTATTTGATAGGCCTATGCAAGTTCAGAGGCCTGATAGTTTTGTGGATCTCTGTGGTACCAGTCAATGTACTGTACCAAGAACCTACAGAGTACCAACCAGAAATGGCATTAAAAACTCTTATAAAGTTAGAGCCAAGTGCTTTAACCAGTAATGCTGACTGGTCATCACTCCCTGAACCAATTGTTTGTAAGCCTTCGATTTTTAACTGGTAGTGTAATTTTTTTTATGTTGCATTGCATAGCTAGCAATTTTTCTTAATATTGTATATTTATTTATTTTACTGCATTTTATTTAGTTTAAACTTTCTTTTACAGACTGAGCAAAGACATCCACGTGAAGAATCTTTAACAAGATGGAAAACACCCTATTATCGATGCTTGCTCTTTTTACCTCCACAACCCTCATTGGTTTGGGTATTGGAACCATCTTATCAAAGTTCCACATACTATACATTTGGATGCACAAGGTCAGTATAATGGTAAAAAGGATTCCTTAGATTTTGCCGAAGAGAAAATGTTCTTTCTCATTTGCTGCCGACATAATCTTCATTTCCTCTAATCCTAACCCACTTTCTGCTTGGCATCTTCATTTGATAATTACTTAATTACCTAACTCATTTATCTGAATGACAGTGAATGGTGAACTCCCCCCCCTCCCCCAAAAAAAAAGGTCCACCTGTGGCTGACTGCTAACAAACTTGCCCTTAACATTGGAAAATGTAACAAATAATGATAAACAAATTGAGAGTAGAGTTAATGGGAAATTGTTGATATTGACAACAAGCTGTGTTTCAGTTGCCACATACAAAATATAACTAAAGTTTTGAAAACAGTTTAGCATTCTTTCTAAAATCTGGTCTATGTGCCTCATTAACCGTGGCAACACTTATTATTCACTCGTCTATCCATATCTAGTTTGCAGTATCTGTGCTTGGATCTAAAACCCAAAATTACCTAGGATCTGTTCATTATTGTACTAGAAACAAATAAGCCATCGGACCGATAGCAAACTCCAATCCCAAACACTAGCAAACACCTTTGCTGCAGTCCTTGAATATGGTAAATATCTTGTCTCCTCACACACTCCAGTGTTCTCTATATCTACAAAACTCGAAAATGCAGTTCTGATCCTGACCTCAAATACTTCCTAGAGGGTTGCAATAGAACCCATAGGCTCTATTGATAGTCATTTCATCACCAGAAATGACTATCCATTTTATATTTCCAGAGTGAGACTAGCAAAGCAAAAATGCGATGCAATTCTAGGGTCCCAAATTGTGGAATGATCTCCCAAATGTAATAAAAAGCTGTAAATTTCACAATCACTGTAAGAGAGAGCAAGAAATATCTATGTATCGAATTTCAGTTGCATATCCTTGTCCCAAGAAAACATACATTTGTTTTGCGGTTAGTCAATTTTACGTACTAAAACTATGAATACGCGACATAAAGCATCACCTAATTATTGTCATATGCTGTATGTTAACGTGATGCATCCTGGGATTCAGTTGAACCCCAGGTTGCATTACTTCAGATCATGTCGTGGTGTAGTGGTCTAGGGCAGTGGATACCAACTGGTGGTCCACAAGACACTTTTATTTGTGTACTGTATGTAACTGTATTTTCTTTAACTGTTATATTTAATGGCATCAAATAGTTTTACTTGCTAAAGTATCATTTCTTGTTGGACAGCGGGATTCATATTAGTGGTCTGTGGGATTTAAAATTATGAATTGGGTGATCCGTGAGCTCTGAAAGGTTGGTGACCATTGGTCTAGGGCATGGGCTTCAGAGTACATACAACTGATTTTCTCATTGATACTTCATGTTAATGTGATTTCATTGTCCTTCCTTTGGTGTTTGAATTTTTGTTTCGGTGGAATTCATAAGTTGGGGTTTCGGTTGGAAAGGCTTGTATTTTGAAGATGTTGATTTTTGTTTTTATCAACTACAGGTGGATAAGAAGAGCAAGCACCATGGAGGAGAACTAGTTGCCGAAGTGTTACAGTCTCATGGTGTACGTCACATCTTCACACTGCCTGGTGGGCATATCTCACCAATTCTTGTTGCAGCTGAAAAACTTGGAATTCGTGTAGTTGACACTCGGCATGAGGTAAAATTAGCATGTATAATTAATTGAAAATGTAACTATCAAGAGCCTATATTTTTCATGATATACAGTATGTATAGTGACCCTTATTCAGAATGAATTATCAGAGCAAATTTGGCTATATTGTATATGGGGAAAAGTAGAAATGTATTCCAGAGATTTCACAAAGTTAGGAGTTTATACTCCTGAAGAAAACATCTGCATGAATATCGGTTTGTTTTAGATTCATATTTGGGTGTTGTGCACCAAATCAACAACTCGTCACATGAAAATTGCACACTTGAACATGCCCACCTGTAATTTGAATTTAATGTTTTACAACAAAACTGTGCAGCTTCACATTTATTGTCCAAATATATGTAGAGCAAAGGTCTATGCACAGTCAAATTTTGCATATTTTATATCAACAGGCTACAGACATTTATACATTAATATTTTCTCATAAATATTCAGGTATATATTTTTCAAAGTGAATATCATTTTAGACACCAACTCTAGGTCAGAGTTAAGGAAGCAAACATCTGCATTATTTATATAATTTTAGGCGCATGTTTGTGTTGCAGGCATCGGCGGTATTTGCAGCAGATGCCATGGCACGCATGTCGGGAACGGTAGGAGTAGCAGCTGTGACAGCAGGTCCAGGTCTCACTAACACCATCACAGCTGTTAAAAATGCTCAAATGGCTGAAAGTCCAGTATTGATTATAGGTAAAAAAAAGGTTATAGAAATTATCTTTTAACAATAACAATAATTTGTGGTGCTGTATTTTTATTTTAATTGCATTTTCCTTGTACATACTGTATCTCGTTTTTTGTTTGTTTATTAGGTGGTGCTGCAGCTACAATTTTGAAGGGCCGTGGAGCTCTGCAAGATATAGACCAGTTGTCTCTCTTCAAACCTCTTTGCAAGTTGTGCACGTCTGTCAAATGTATACGAGATATAGTCCCAGTTGTTCGTCAGTCTCTACAGGTGGCACAATCAGGAACACCAGGCGAGTCTTAATTAACAAGAATGCATTAGTGTTAAATAAATAGGAATACTGTACAAATTTTTAGGAATACAAATTTTGGGGGGTTACTGTAAAGCTAACATGTTTAAATATTTATACTTAAAATTGACTTATATTCAGCTACTACATACTAAATATGTATTAGCTGATGATATTATTAGTGAATAAATTTAATTATTTAGGTTTTGTGGATTTTGATACTCTCGGTATGAGTTGATGTTTATATCTTACATACAAGTTCTCCCTGTTTCTTTGTGGGATGAAGTGAAGGTAATAAATAGGGAGATATGCCATATTTTACATAGTACAGTACAGTGTTCTAATGGATGAGAAGTAGGTTTACTGTACCTCATCCATGGATAATGTTCACTGAAAAGTATGGAGGCTGCATTTTCTCTTTGTTCTAGTGTTTCTTTAGTGATACATTTGTACAAAGTTAAATTGATCATGGTGTATCACAGGGTCTGTAGTACAGTTGGGTTCATTCTCGACTCGCAATTGGGAATCCTGGGTGGGACAGAAATAGTTGGGCACATTTTCTATCGCCTAATGCCATTGTTCACCTAGCAGCATATGGGTACCCAAGAGCCAATAACTGTTGTTGGGTTGCATCCTGGGGAGGCTCAGTAGTTCAACTTTTGGGAAACCTCGATATAAGCCTAACAAAAATTCACAGGCTGCCTGTCCCTGACAAAAATAAAGTTACATATCTTTGCATGAAAACTGCATATTCTACGGCATATAAAATATTTCAATGTGGAGTTTTGAGCTGTCTGTCGCAAGTGCTTTTATCACATACTGTTCATCCAGCCTGTCTTCTAGAGTGGTCACAATGTCACACAAAAAAAATGTACAGTACTAAATCGCCCTAACCTAACCGAGGACCCAGGAATAAGAATATGGGACAGCCGGCAACCTGTCAACTTTGGGATCCGTTATGATTAATAATGAATCATATTCACATCAACTTATGATCTCTTATTAGAGAGGATAGGTTGATTAGTCAACATATTTTATATGTTTTGCATTTTCACTATATACTGCACATTTTTTGAAGAATGGTGATTTACTAACTGTAGCAAGCAACTATTTATCATGTTTTAACTCTTAACATTTTCTAAGTTATTAAAATAGTTTTTGCAGGTTATTTATAGAAGAGCCACATGAATTTGTATATTATGATTTCTACTTTTACATTGTTGACAATCATTTGTACAGTATTTCCATGAATTCATTTTCATATAAAATATAATATGTACTCCAGAAAACATGAAATTTCACAAATTAAATTATTTATTATAATTTATGTTCAGGGCCAGTGTTCATAGAGTTCCCAATAGATGTTCTATACCCGTACGAGATTGTGTCAAAGGAGCTTGGAGTCAAGGCAGAAGGCAAGTCAATCATGCAGAAGATCACTAACTGGTAAGCTGTAAAAAGTCAATGACAGTCTCTAGTATGATTATATCTTTGTTCTGTAATTATTGTTGTTTATACAGTATAACTACAGTATTTAATAACTAAAGCATTCCTAAAGAAACTTGTGAACTTCATAAAACAATAAGAAATGGAAATTCATTGCTGTTGAAAGGTAATGTGACTTGTATGAGTGTCAGTAGCATATGTGTAGACTTTTGTATTGTTCTATAAAATACTCTTGATATATTTTACTTAATCTCTGATTTTAAATATACAGTACCAAATATTTTTGCAGCTTTTGCCATATCAAATATGTATTAATTACTGTACTGTACAAGTTTGTAAAATGCAAAGATTTATGTAGATTAATTTAATATTTAATTGATATGTAAGAGTGAAAGTGTATGTGAGAAAATTAGTTAATGGTGAAGAGGAAAGGATTGAGTGTGGAAATCTAATGTTAATAAAGTACTAGATTTGGCTGATCATTTAAAATACCTGGAATACTCTGTGCAAGTAGAGAATAAGAGATAGAGCTACTTAATATATTTTTTTGCCTGTTTATATGATTGAGAAACACTGGTGCGGTATAAATGAGAACAATTTTAAAAGTAGAAATGGCTAATCCGGGAAGCAAACTAGGCTGAATAATCACACATTGGAAACTTGGGCTTGGGGCTCAAATCCAATCATGATTAATAATAATCCAAGTGGCATGTGCCAGATTAAGAAAAAGTAAACGAAAATGTCATGGAAGATGTAGAGTGCAAAAGCTGCTTATCTGCAAGTTTGAGAAGATAATAGTGAATTTGATGGTAGCTAAGATAATACACCGTAGATGCTTGTGTATATGAAGAAACGAGGATAAAGTGTTAACAGCTCAAGAGATGTGGTTGAGAACACTGCTAGAATGTGGAAGTTTGAGGATGGTATTGTATGACTGTGACAAAGGGCACCGTATACCTGGTGCCGTGAAGTAATGCATTGCTGCAACAGAGATTTGCTTAACTTGGGTGACGGTGGTTTTGTGTCTAACTGCATGGTTGTATGATGAAGTGAATGAACAAGTGACTTCTTAGTTTTCTACATTTGCTCCCCCCAATTATTTTTCCTGGGCTGATGCCTCCCCATTAATGTAGGAAGTGGTATGATGAGAGCATTCAATTACTTATGTACTGCCAGGTACCTTGGAAACTATTTGGACAACCTTTATGCTGGAGCTTGGGAACCTCAGGACACAAAGCCTCTGAAAGTGACCATACCTTTTGCCTCCAGTGATATAGGTGTGTGGATTATTCGTATGCTGTTTTCATTTTAGTTCGGCTTAATATTCCTTAATGAATAATGCATAAATATAACTTGATAGCATATATTGCACAGTATTATTAATGGGGTTTCATTACATAATACTGTATTTTTTTATGAAGTTAATCGATGTGTGGAGGTGGTATCCAAGTCAAAGAAGCCTGTGATTCTCCTGGGCAGTCAAGCCACACTTCCACCAACTCCTGTTGAGGATCTGCGTCGCTCGCTAGAAACCCTGGGCATTCCTTGTTTCCTTGGAGGAATGTCTCGAGGCCTGCTTGGTTAGTGTTAATTTTCACGTTGGTAAATGATACATTAGAACTGTCAAAACTTGACAAGACTATTTTTTTGTCATTTGAGGGCAAAACTAATTTTACTGAACTGTTAATGGAGGGAGTAAATGTTCCTTGGTCAATTATTAATGTGTATCTGGGCTTACGAAACAGTGCTACTACTGAAGACTACTGGGGTGTTCTTTCATTATCTGTGATGCTACATATTAAATGGTATAATGCTTGGATGAGTACTGTAATATGTTATCCTGTAACCTTCTTTCCCTACTTTTTTTTCCTTGCATCCTGTGGGCGGTGGTGGAAAGATTGTCGGCACATAATGGGCTCTGGAACCGAACCACAAAATGACTCGTGACACAAACT